ATTATTGGTGAAGAATTAACTAAGAATAATGCACTTTACAATCTAGATTCTATTAACTTCAGAAAGTAAATGTTAATATAGTCTATTATAAGCTATTCAAATAGGCTTTCATCGAGTAATTCTTTTTTGCCTACTTATGGAAATAAAATTATATCAGTTCTTCAAGCTTCCTTAAATAGTAAATATCAAACCCAAACTTACAAAGTCCTTAACTATGTTAGCACAACTTTGCAAAACTAACAGCAAAAAATTGCGAATTAAAACAATAATAATAAATTATTTAATAATAACGATATAGTTCAATAGAATTTAGTTGATTGCTTTAAAATATTGAACTCAACTACCCAAGAGGCATCATAAACACTTTAGTAGCAAAGTAATAATAATGGTAAAAGGCTTTTAAAAAGTTAAGAAGATTATTCAAATACTTTAGGCACTTTTAGATCCCTTGCTTCTAATCAAACTATGTTGCAGCAATAAATGGATTTATCAGACTAAATAGGAAATCTACTAAACAACATTACCCTTCCTAACTAAGGAGACCTTTAATTACAAGGAAATTTAATCTCTCTTAGCACAGAGTAAATAACATCTAAGAATCTTTAAAAATACATGTATGTTTAAAACTAGCCATAGTAAAATGATTCAAGCACTTATAATGTTGTTATGACTAAATATTCTTATAACCCTTTTATTAATACTGACGGCTTTTAATAATATATAAATTAACTTTAAAACTCTACTCCTGGTATTCAAGTTTCTATAAATCCTGTGGTAAAACCATTTATCTAAAATACAAATAATGCCACGAGTTAAGGGTTTAATAATTCTCTTACTCTTTAATTTTCGAATATTAAACCATCAAAATATAATTTAACTTGCTTGTAGCAATAATCTTAATCAAACTGGACAAATTAAGACTGTAAATTAATTGAATCTACCCAAACTGGCTCTTAAACTTGTTTTTGTAAAAATCAAAAACCCACTACTATAGCCGAAGATTTATAAGATCTTCTTGATAATAAAAATTTAAAAACGGCATTTGGTTCATAGGGAATATAAAATATTTCTAATTTTACAACATTCTATGAGTATGCTGTATTTTGGATTCTGAGTTCAGTTACACTAATCCAAATAGGACTCTGTATTTATGGTAATTAGCTAGATTCTAAGAATAAAAATTCATTTGTAGGATCTATGTCAAAAATCAATCCAATATCTTTAGTAAATTTTGAAAATTTTGATTAAAAAAACACAGATGAATAATATCAACTACAACTAAATTAATAAAAATAAGAATCCGATAAATTATAATAAAAGGAATCGACTGTTTTTATAAATTACTAGCAATAAAAATAATAATCTTAAAGAGCTACGCAATCAAATATAAACCTGAAAAGACCTGAAGATGATTATCAAGGAAGTAAATTATTTGTTTAATAATAAGAAAACGATGTAAACAACCAAAAAGTTTAGAATTTATAGTCTTTATCTGATAACCAAAGCATTTAAAGCATATATCTGAGTTCAAAAGATAATAAATAGGAATTAAAATTGGATTAACCGAACACCATTACTGAATAAGTTAATGATAAGAAAACAAATAATATGAAGACAAAGGCAAATAAAGTAAAGAATAATAAAAGGATATCGTTGAAATATTAAAAGGATCAAAAAATACTCAAAAATTAATGGAGACCTCTTTGTTGAAAAAGATATTAATTTTTCACAATTTTAGCAGTATTTTCTTTGTTTACAGTAGTTAAGAATCTAGAGCACTAAGATTTAGCATTTTCTACTTAAGAGTAATTCACTCATTAAGTATATCAACGATATTTGATTAACAGTACAATGAAGAGTAGATTATTATAGTTTCACTAATAAACTCTGTTATTCTGATAGCAAGTGTTACGTTAATTAGATTTTTGTATAAATCTAGAAAAATATTTAAAATAGTTGCTTTTTTGATAATGATGGGTTTGCTTGTACTATATTATTATATAATTTTATCAATTGTGAGCGGACAATCAAATGATTTCTCAAATAAAAGGATATCTTCTTTTTTTATAATGTTTGGAGTAGATTTCTTGATCTTATCAACATTAGTCTCTATAATTAACATATTTGCCTTTATTAAAATAGTTAAGGATGCAATTAAAAACAAATTTATATTAAAATTATTAAGTTTATTATAAATATAAGATATTTTAGAAAATTTAGCGTTGTGATATTGTAAATAAAAGCTTTATTTTTATTTGTCTTTATGTTTGTTTTAGGTGTGAAACTTTAATATGTTAATTTCTGTAATAATTTCATAATTAAATCTTATCAGTATTTATTAAGGTAAAATTCCTCCAAAATGCATAAATTTAGGTTCCTAATTACTAATAATCTAGGTTTTTATTTTTTCAAAAATATTAATAAATATAATTTTAAATGGTAAATTTGAGAGATTTTAAGAGAATTTGTTAGAAATAAAACATAATAATGTATTGGTCATTCAACATACGACAGATTAATTTTAATCGAATTTTATGAAATAGCATACTATTTATTACCTATCCTAAAATAAACAGAAACCAAATAAAAAAGATTGATCAAATCATATTTTTTATTTTTCTCTACCATATTTATATTTTTCGTTATTTTTTATGTTATGATGGTTGATTAATTTTTTGGTTAGTACATCTTCTTATTTGTAAAATTAAATTTAACAAATTAAATAGAATATTAATTATTTTTTTATATTACATTCTACCCCACCTAATATCCTTATATCTTTATAAATTTAAAATTAAAAATATTTTTCCAATAAAAATAAATAAATAAATAAATAAAGTAAAAATATAATTTTATCTTTGTTAAATTCCTATTTTTATTTTATTTATATTATTTAATTTAATAGGTAAATGGACTTGTAAATCACGTATTTTTTTACTATCTAATAATTTGATTAGAATGGGATTGAAATTTTTTAAGATTAGTTTGATATCTAAATCACTTCATCAGTTCATCTTCTCTTAACAAAAGTTTAACTAAATCCAATGACCAATAAATATAATTAGAAATACAACCTTATGCTATACCTCCTATTTTCTACTTAAGAGTAATTCACTCATTAAGTATATCAACAATATTTGATTAACAGTATAATGAAGAGTAGATTATTATAGTTTCACTTATTAACTCTGCTATTCTGATAACAAGTGTTACCATAATTAGATTTTTGAATAATTCTAGAAAAATATTTAAAATGGTTGCTTTTTTGCTAATGATAGGTTTACTTGTACTTTATTATTATATAATTTTATCAATTTTTAGCGGTCAATCAGATGATTTCTCAAATAAAAAGATATTTTTTTAATAATATTTGGAGTAGATTTCTTCTTCTTATCAACATTAGTCTCTATTATTAACATATTTGGCTTTGTTAAAATAGTTAAAATGCAATTAAAAACAAATTTATATTATAATTATTAAGTTTATTATATGATATTATACAAAATTTAGTATTGTGATTTTATAAATAAACATTTTATTTATCTTTATGATAGTTTTAGATATGAACGATTAATATATCAATTTCCTTAAAATAACTGTTACTGGTTTTAAAATTCTAATGATTGAATTATTAGTAATCAGAAAAATTTGTAAAAATATTAACATATAAATGACTAAATTGCATCCTAAATATTTTTTCTTTTCTTTTTTAAATCAGAATTTATCGGATGGATACACCTACATTTGCTCAAAATATAAAATTTGGAAGCATTAATTTCCGAAAATTAAATGCAAATAAATTAAAAAATATTATAATAAAAAAAACTATTATAAAAAATAAATAAATTATTTAATTTAAAATTATAAATTTGATTTAAAAAATAACAAACAAACGAAGGTATTAATGGAAAAAATTTACAAAATTATTAATTATTATATTAATATAATTTATAGCTTAAGTTCGAATTAAATTCTTGGGTGTCAGCGTTAGCTAGAATTTAATTCATGGAAATTAGAGATGAAAGAGGTATAAAATAGCAATAATAAATAAATAAAGATTAATTTTGTGGCTTCAAATCAATAATAAGAAGAAATCAAAAGAAAATTAATGATGATTTTAAGAGAGTAATTTTTACTTGGATATTAACTCATTTTTAATGATTTAAATAAATGATTTAAAATGCTCTTTATCATTTTTCGAAATAAGTTAAAAGAAACTATGTAAAAAGAAAATTGATATTGCATTTAAATTGTAAAGGAAACTTATATTCATACTACTTTATTTGATAAATAATGAGTTAACTAACGTGCTTCTTCAAATCAATAAACAAAACAAATCAAAAGGAAATTAATTATAATTTATAATAATTACAAAAGAATTCTTTGAAAATTACTTCATTCCCTTTAAAAAGTTAGATAATAAATTAGCTAATAACTCTACTTGATTTCCATCAAGCTTATAAAATTTTTTAGACAAAAATGTTAATATTCTGTAAGGATAATCTCTTTTTTATTCATTAAATTAATGATTTATATAAATATTTATAGGCATCTTGCTTGCTTTAAGGATAGTCTAAGCATAGGATTGCTCATTCCTTCTCTCAAAACCTTAACCAACTACTCCACCTTTGGGTAAATTTTAAATTCTAAAATTATAAACTCAACCAACCATTAAAACTTAAATGAATTTTAGGCTACGAGTGTGTTATGAGCTCTTCAACAACATTCGATAATGCTTACGTTTAAGCGACAACCAAATATACAATATGGGCAGTAGCTGAAAGCAACCAACATACCAATCCATAAATTCTTATAAGATAACCTCAATGTGCAAATCTTATTTAGCAAGATAGCTTGAACTATCCAGGCTTAGATATATGGTTTGATAGAAATAGCTAGAATTTAAAAAATATGTACATTAGTTATGATTTATATACCAATCAACAACCAGGTTAGTTTACAATTAAAACAGGCTGGAATTAAGATTAATCATACAGTTATACTTATCATTCTAATCAACTGACTTCCTCATAAATGGATGCTTGCGGTAAATTCAAAATAAGTTTATTTGAAAGTATAGATTTTACTAGCTTATCAACGAAATTTAGCGCATCTTTTATTATTTTTCGTGCCTATGATTCATTCAATAGCTCAATTTAAACTTGGTTATCAAATGTGTAGATTCTCGCTTACTACGAAGTAAATTTTATTGATTTGTTTCATTGTAGAAACTATTTTTTACTCCTATTCATTTTTTTTGATATAAATGTTAACAAATCTCCAGCTAATAATTTTATTCACTACTTTATTAGTTTATTTTTATATTTTTTATTATAAAATTAATTTATTTTAGTTGTACTTTTAAACAATTTAGTTTTATTTTTTAGCCATATTAATTGCCACTAACTAACTAACTATATTATTTAATTAAAAATTTTTTAAAATAATTAAGTCTTTGGTTTTTAGATTTAATGATTTGATTTTTAATTATTTAATAGTGTCCAATTGGATGCTCGGGTTCTTGTCCTTCAGGAGTTTGTTCAGCTTGTTTAAGCGGCTACAATATTTAAAGTGGAAAATGTTTATTATAGTGCAATTTAGGCTAATACTTAAATTAAGATTAATCTTCAAAATAATCTTGCTTATCTTGCATTCCTAATTGCAATTAATGCGCTGATGGGAATACTTGTATAACTTGTGCTAATAGTTTTACCTACGCTTTCGTTAATGGCTAAAATAGGTGTTATCCATCATGTAGCTAATCTAACCAGTATATTGACTCAACAGGTTCATGCTAAAATTGTATGTAATATTGCAGCAAATGCTCTTAAGCTAATAAATGCGACACTTGTTTATCAGGATTCACTTAGAGTGCTTCATTCGTTTGCTAATGTTAAGGTTTTGTCAACAACAGTAATCAATGCACTCCTTGCACTCCTCCTTGCTAAACTTGTGGTGATATCTCAACTACAAGCTGTCAATCCTGCATAAATAATTACTACCTTGTTAAAGATTATCCAAATTAGTCATAATCTTTATGTCTTTAAATATGCCCTAATAATTATTAACTAATCAATAATACTTGTAAATTATGTATTTAGACTATTTACAACGATTGTTTTAATTGCCCTAAAACTTGTAGATCTTGCTCTCCATCTCAGATTAACAAATGTTAAGATTGTTATCCTGGAATGCAGCTTAATAGTAACGGCTTATGCGAGCCTTCACCCTAGCCTGGACTATAAGTAGATAGTAGAAATCTCAATTTTTATTATTGTAGCTATAATAATATAGCAGTTGTTTAGGCTACTTTTTCAAGCTCAAGTCCAACATTAACTCTAGAATTCGGTATTAATTTAGTTACTATACCTGGACTACAATGCAGTTAAATATTTGACTCTGTTACTCTAAATTTGTTAGGTTCTAGTACATGCTCTATCAGTTCATCATAAATCGTAGTGGCATTAAGTATATTTTATTAAATAATGAATTAAATATTAATATAATATCTTCTTAAAAATAGGTTAAGATGCTAATTTAATGGTTAACTAAGTCATAACTATAACTACAATTGCTTAGGTACTTTAATTCTAAGGAGTCAGTTCTAAAATTGATACTATTTATCTGATTTCTTATGTTTAACAACCAGTTACTCCTTAAGTGAATGTTCTATACAATTAAGTTGTAAATTCTTGTGATGACATCTAATTCTAAATTTAAACACCATAAAATGATGCAGGAAGAGGTTTCTTCAATATATAATGGATATTACCTAATTCATAAACTTTTAACCAAGAAACTTTGAATAATTTAAGTGTTATTATAAATAGCGCAAATGCGCTTCAAAGTTTAACTTTGTTAATCCCAAAATACACACTTCCCATTAATACTAACATATCTATTTAGCTCAAATACACTCTTAAAGTCTATTAAAGCAACACCTTGTCATTTACAACTAACAATTAATAAAAGAAGCAAATTATTCTAAGCCAAATTTAAAATAATTATGCTCCAATATATAGGTAAACTAATTATTTTAAACATATTTACAAAAAATAAAATTATTTTTTTAATTATTTAAAATATAAATTTCCTTAAAATGAATATGTTAATTTAATTCTATTTTATTTCAGTTACTTCAAACATTTCATTTTAAAAATATAATTTTTGAAAAAATCAATATTTATGATTTTTTAAATAAGTAAAAAAATAATTTTATTTTTTTATCATTAAATTTTTACTAATTTTTTAAATTAAATAGGTATATGGACTTGTAAATCACATATTTTTTTACTAGTTAATAGTGTGATTAGCAAGGGATTCACTTTTTTTAAGATTAATTTGATATCTAAATCACTTCATTAGCTCTACCTTCTCTTAATAAAAGTTTAACTTAATTCAATGCTCAATAATTATAATTAGAAATACAACCTTATCTTATATCTGCTAGTACAAATTTAGATATTTAGGTAGAATTTATTTTTATTATGTTATTAATTATTAACTATTTAATATTTTTTAGGTTGTTGCTTAAATTAGTGGCGATGCATCAATTAGCAATAAAAATACTTTATCTATTCCTTATACCCTATCGAAACTTTAGATTCTGATCTAAAATGGAGCTAATATGCTTGTTGATTATAAAAATAATCTTACTCTGATTGGTTTCGCAAGAGATTATGAAATTCAAGATCCTAACTCTCCATAAGGAATACAACTAAGTTGGCAGTGCAAGTCTTTGTAAGTATAAAATGGGGATGACAAATGTTACACATATAAAAAGGTAGTTTATGTACCATAAAATACTTAGAATATTACAATCAATGGTGGTACTTTCAACCCTTATTAAACCCTCAATTTCATTTTTTAAGGATCTAAAGATTCTAGAACTTCCGAGTCTAGCACTTTACTTATTTTTGCAGAGATAGATCTTCCTCCTCTCATAGTTATATTTGATGACCCTACATAATTATAATAAATTAACATAAACGAAGATATTCGAGCAACTCTTATTTATGGCTCAAATGTACCTTCGGATATTCTAACTTATGCTGGAGCAATTCTCTACAATAACTTTGTAGTTGGAGTAATTAAATTTGATTATTACAAACTTAAATTTAGAATTTGGGATTACTTTTCTAATATAAAAGCAGATAATCTAATTGTTCAAATCAGATTTACTGTATATAATCCTGCCAATATAATGCCTAGTTTAAGCGTAACTAACTTTAATATAAACTTCCCTCCTTAAAATTGTGTTCTTTCTGTTACTCCTTTAAGTGGTCAGGCTTTAACTACCTAATTCACTATTCAATTTGATGGTTGCACAGCCATTAATAATCCTATAACTTACTAATTCTTCTATTATAACCAGACTTCTGATGTACAATAAGAAATTTTAATCCCTTAAAATATCCTAAGAAGATAATTACAAGATCAGAGTTTACAGTCCAAAATTATTACCAATCTCCCTTCAGGAAATATAGTAATTATGGGTCAAGCTATGGATTCTTACTTAGCTGTCTTTAATTCAACCATATAAGTGAATGTTTCTCCATTCTCGGGAGATGAGTAGACATTACTGAGTTTAATAGGTTCAGCTCTTTCTTAGAAAAATATAAATATAAATTAAATGCTCATTAATTTATGCATTATTGGTGAAGAATTAACTAAGAACAATGCACTTTACAATCTAGATTCTATTAACTTCAGAAAGTAAATGTTAATATAGTCTATTATAAGCTATTCAAATAGGCTTTCATCGAGTAATTCTTTTTTGCCTACTTATGGAAATAAAATTATATCAGTTCTTCAAGCTTCCTTAAATAGTAAATATCAAACCCAAACTTACAAAGTCCTTAACTATGTTAGCACAACTTTGCAAAACTAACAGCAAAAAATTGCGAATTAAAACAATAATAATAAATTATTTAATAATAACGATATAGTTCAATAGAATTTGGTTGATTGCTTTAAAATATTGAACTCAACTACCCAAGAGGCATCATAAACACTTTAGTAGCAAAGTAACAATAATGGTAAAAGGCTTTTAAAAAGTTAAGAAGATTATTCAAATACTTTTGGCTCTTTTAGAGCCCTTGCTTCTAATCAAACTATGTTGCAACAACAAATGGATTTATCAGACTAAGTAGGAAATCTATTAAACAACATTACCCTTCCCAATTAAGGAGACCTTTAATTACAAGGAAATTTAATCTCTCTTAGCACAGAGTAAATAACATCTAAGAATCTTTAAAAATACATGTTCATTTTAAACTAGCCATAGTAAAATGATTCAAACATTTATAATGTTGTCCTGACTAACTATACTTATAACCCTTTTATTAATACTGACGGCTTTTAGTCATATATAAATTAAGTTTAAAACACGACTCCTGGTATACAAGTTTCTATAAATCCTGTGGTAAAACCGTCTATCTAAAATGTAAATAATACCTTTAGTTAAGGGCTTAATAATTCTCTTACTCTTTAATTTTCGAATATAAAACCATCAAAATATAATTTAACTTGCTTGTAGCAACAATCTTAATCAAATTGGATTCAATCAGATTGTAAATTGATTTAATCTACCCTAAGTGGATCATATATTTGTCTATGTAAAGATTAAAAACCCACTACTATAGCCGAAGATTTATAAGATCTTCTTGATAATAAAAATTTAAAAACTGCATTTGGTTCATAGGGAATATAAAATATTTCTAATTTTACAACATTCTATGAGTATGCTGTATTTTGGATTCTGAGTTCAGTTACACTAATCCAAATAGGACTCTGCATTTATGGTAATTAGCTAGATTCTAAGAATAAAAATACATTTGTAGGATCTATGTCAAAAATCAATCCAATATCTTTAGTAAATTTTGAAAATTTTGATTAAAAAATTACAGATGAATAATATCAACTACAACTAAATTAATAAAAATAAGAATCCGATAAATTATAATAAAAGGAATCGACTGTTTTTATAAATTACTAGCAATAAAAATAATAATCTTAAAGAGTTACTCAATCAAATATTAACCTAAAAATTCCTGAATATGATTATCAAGGAAGTAAATTATTAGTTTAATAATAAGAAAATGATATAAACAACCAAAAAGTTTAGAATTTATAGTCTTTATCTGATAACCAAAGCATTTAAAGCATATATCTGAGTTCAAAAGAAAATAAATAGGAATTAAAATTGGATTAACCGAACAGCATTACTGAATAAGTTAATGATAAGAAAACAAATAATATTGAAGATAAAGGCAAATAAAGTAAAGAATAATAAAAGGATATTGTTGAAATATTAAAAGGATCAAAAAATACTGAAAAATTAATGCAGACCTCATTCTTAAAAAAGATATTAATTTTTCACAATTTTAGCAGTATTTTCTTTGTTTATAGTAATTAAGAATCTAGACCACTAAGATTTACCATTTTTTACTTAAGAATAATTCACTCATTAAGCATATCAACGATATTTGATTAACAGTACAATGAAGAATAGATTATTATAGTTTCACTTATAAATTCTGTTATCCTGATAGCAAGTGTTACGTTAATTAGATTTTTGTATAAATCTAGAAAAATATTTAAAATAATTGCTTTTTTACTTATGATAGGTTTGCTTATACTATATTATTATATAATTTTATCAATTGTGAGCGGTCAATCAAATGATTTCTCAAATAAAAGGATATCTTCTTTTTTTATAATGTTTGGAGTAGATTTCTTCATCTTATCAACATTAGTCTCTATAATTAACATATTTGCCTTTATTAAAATAGTTAAGAATGCAATTAAAAACAAATTTATATTAAAATTATTAAGTTTATTATAAATATAAGATATTTTAGAAAATTTAGCTTTGTGATGTTCTAAATAAAAGTTTTATTATTGTTTGTCTTTATGTTAGTTTAAGATATGTACATTTAATATGTTAATTTCTGTAAGATTACATAGATCATGAATATTTTATGAATCTTGATTAAGATAAATTATTCCCAAAATGCATAAATTTAGGCAGGTAATTTGTAATTATCTTAGTTTTTAAAAATTACCTTGGTTTTTATGATTTTCCAAAATATAAAATTTAATTGTAAAAATTGTAAATTTTAGAGTTAAAAAAAAAATTTGATGCCAAAATAAAAATTGTTTTAGTATTTAATAATTGATGAGTTTATGGTATTTATAAAAAATTTATAAATTTTGATTAATACTTCGAGGATCAAAACTTATGAAAAGAATAATTTGAAATTTAATCTTATTCATTTCTCCTATCCCTAAAAAATTTAAAGTAAATATACTCAAATTTAATGAATAAATTGAAATAGATTAAAAAAATAAATAAAAAACAAAAATGGATATTAGCTATTATAAAAATATATTTAATAGCAAAAAATAAATAAATACATTCAAAATTTATAAATTAACTGAAATAAAATTGTGGTTTCTTCTGCTAAATTGTAATTTTTGGTTGTGTTTTTTATAGAGAAATTAGTTTTGGAAATAAATATTTATTTATTTGATTTTAAGTAATACAAAGTTATTAAAGTAATGTTTTTAATAAAAAAAATTAGATTTCAAAACTTAAGAAAATAATAATTTGAAATTTAATCTTATCCATTTCTCCTATCTCTAAAAAATTTAAAGTAAATATGCTCAAATTTAATGAACAAATTGAAATAGATTAAAAAAATAAATAAAAAACAATAAAGGATATTAGCTAATCTAAAAATATATTTAATAGCAAAAAATAAATAAATATATTCAAAATTTATAAATTATCTGAAATAAAATAGTGATTTTTTTTAAAAAGTAATTTTTGTCTGTGTTTTTTATAGAGAAATCAATTTGGGAAATAAATATATTTTTTATTGTATTTTAAGTAATACACAGTTGAAGTAATTTTTTTTGATGAAGAAAATTTGATCTATCAAAAAACCTGTTTATTCATCAAACTGAAAAATAAAATTGTTAATAAAAGTGACCAATAAAATTTAAATTAGGTAATGTATATTTTATTTCATATTTATTTTCAAAGGAATGATTGAATAAATAATTTAATTATTAAATAGTTGATAACAATTAACTTGTATACCAAAATCAATTCATTTGATAGATAGAGTAATTAACAAATATTGAAATTAAGTCAAACTTCAAGTTAATCTTGATGTTTAAAAAGAAAGCAAACAAGCCAAATAATAAAAAAAATATATAATAATAACAAGAAAGAAACAAATTATTAAAAGATCAAATAATCAATAAATTAGTAGAATTAATTATTCACAGTACTCCCTCAAGCAATATAAACATTATTGAATTAGTTCCAACCAAAGATGATTTACTAAAAACTTGATTCATTTTCATCTTAATTTATTTAACATCAACAACCAGTAAATGAAGAAGGGTATCCTTTTCAATTTCGTTCTTTCCATTTTTTTTATTTTTAAAAACACTCTGCTATTTTACTACAACATACATCAATATGAAACAAACTTAATAGAATCTAACTTTAGATCTTAAAGTTTCATCAATGATGGTGATATTGACATAACTTTGAATAGTTACCTAGTTGCTTTCAACTTCGATTATGGTGAAAAACTGACCTTTAAATTGTTAATTCGAAAAACAAAATATACTTGGTTTACTATGCTTACTTTTACTTCTAAAAATTAGAAAAGTGTACATCATCAGACTACCTGTTTTTGAATGCACCAACCCTAAACTATTAGGATTTTATTGTTTAGATCTATCTGTGACTACCAATATAACACTTGTGCTGAATGCTTAAGAAAATATCCTATCATAGATATATCTATATATTTATGAATGCTTAGATGTTGAAGATTTAAAAAATATGGTTCCTGATAATTGTGCAACCTAATAAGAGATAGACCATATGGTAAATGGTATGAACGCTATTTTCAAATTTAAACTATTAACATCTTAGTATAACATCTAATCATAAGAAAATGAAAACAATTAACGTTTTGATCTAGACAGTTGCTAACCAATAAATAGTAACCTAAATGAAAACTCAAAAGTAAATTACCTCTGTGAAATAAGGGTTAAAATGTATAGACTCAAAATATTTACTCTTCTCCTATCTCTTACACTAATCAGATTAACCTATTGATAGAACCTATGTTGCGAAATATATTGGAATCGCTAGCTACAACTGTGTAATCATTTACATGGATGAAATTGTCTAACAAATTTAAATTTAACATCCATATTTACCTTAAGTATTCTCATTTATTAATAGTATATTTAGTTTTTTGATGCTTTTAGTGATTTTTTAAGGATAGTATAAAAACATCCTTCTTGATTAGACTGAGAAACAGCTCTTCCCAAAATACCATACCAAGATACCTATTTGTAAAAATTGTGAAGGAAAATTAACTTTAAAATGCAGAAAAAGAGATAGAGTAAGGCGATGATAAATATTCAGAGAAGAATAAGTAGACAAATGCTGAAAATTATTATCTACAATAACAAAAGTAAATCTAAACATGAGGAACATAAGCAAAAGAAGGAAGTGGAGAAGGAGATTAAGAAGTTAAGAGATTAGGTAATAAAATTTCAGCCAAAAAAATTACTGTACCTGTTTTAGTAGTAAATAAAAGCAATTTTTATATTTAGAGGCTGTTTCCCTATTCAATATTAATAAAATTGACAAACATAAGTAATAATCTAAAGGTTGTAATTAGACGAATTATCAAATAAAATGCAGTATAATTGCTCAAATTATAAAATTTAAAATGACAAAAATGATTTAAATAATGTTTCATAACAAAAAAGATTAGTAAATTTTATTAAGTCTAAGACTCAGTAATTTAGGAATGCTAGCAAGGCCATGGCCATGGAGAATTACTAAACAGTTTATTTACAGAAAAAAACTATCAGTTTTCTCCTTACAAATCGAGCTTATTGTAATCCTAGTTTAAAAAATAGATCTCCTGAGTCAGCCCCTCAAATTATCATCAAAATTTTAAGAACAAATAAAAAAAAGTGTCAGTGTAAACACCTAAGTAGTCAAAAGTATTGAGGAAAAGTTTAAAAATATGGAAAACATCAAAAATAAAAATTTATCTGATAAACTAGTTGAGTTTATTTTTAAAATGAGGTACTTCATTCATTTATTTAATTTCAGTTAATTTATTTTTTTAAATATTTAAAAAATTATAAAGAGCTTACAAAAAAAGAAGAAAGTTAAAAAATATTTTAACTTTGTATAATTAAATACAGTAATTTTAAAAGTAAAAGAAAAATAATAAACTAATTATTACATTAAATTAATATTAAAAGATAATTAATTTTTGATATTGTCACATTTTAAATAAAATCCAAAATAAATTTAATGTAATTTTAGTTTTTTACTTTTATTTTAAGAAATTTAAAAGTAAAATAAAATTGTTTTAATTTATTTTTAATAATTAATGAGTATGGTAATTATATAAATTTTATTAATTCTGATTAATACTTAGAGACTCAAAACTTAAGAAAAAAATAATTTAATGTTATTCGTTTCTCCTATCCCTAAAAAATTGCAAATTAATATGCTCAAATTTAATGAACGAATTTAAATAGATTATATAAATAAATAAAAAACAAGAAAGTATATTTGCTTTCCTAAAAATATATTTGATAGCAAAAAATTAATAATAATTTTTGGCTGTCTTTTTATTGAGAAATCAGTTTGAGGGTTCATTCATAAAACTGAAAAATAAAATTTTTAACAAAAGGTAAAATTTAAGTAAGGAAATGTATATTTTATTTTCAAAGGAATGGTTGAATTGACTTTTCGATGGGAATTCACTTGTATAGCAAAAATAATAAAGAAAAACATGCAAAAATAAAAATATAAAGCAAAAATTACAAATCAATTCATTTGATAGATAGAGTAATTAATTGAAATTACTTCAAATTTCAAGTAAATTTTGATGTTTAAAAAGACAAAAAACAGGCCAAATAATTAAAAAATATATAATAATAAGAAAGAAACCAATTATTTAAAGATCAAATAATCAATAAAAAAGTAGAAGTATTGACAGTCCTCCTTCAAAAAATATCAAATATTCTTGAATCAGTCCCAAAAATGATTTACTCAAAATTTGATTTATTTTCATCTTAATTTTAGTTTAATATCAACAACCAGTAAATGAAGAAGGGTACCCTTTTCGGTTTCCTTCTTTCCATTTTTGTTATTTTAACTACATTCTCCTATTTTATCTACATCATACAGCAATATACAACAAACTAAATAGAACCTAACTTTAGATCATAAAGCTTCATCTCAGATGGTGAAATCGACATAGATTTGAATAGTGACTTAGTTGCTTTCAAGTTCGATTATGGTAACAACACTGTAATTTATGAGGCTAATTAGAAAAATAAAACATACTTGGTTTACTATGCTTTCTTTTACTACTAAAAATTAGACAAATCTGACTACATTCAGCTACCTGTTCTTCAATGCACCAACCCTAAACTCTTAGGATTTTACTGCCTAGATCTATCTGTGATTAGCAATACAACGCTTGTTATGAATACTTCAGAAAATATTCTATCTTAGATATAAATCTATACCTATGGATGTTTAGATATTGACGATTTGAAAACTACTGCTCCTGATAATTGTGCAACATAAACAGAGATAGACAATATGATCAATGGTATTAACGCTGTTATGAGATTTAAGCTACTAACATCTTAGTATAACACCTAAACATAATAAAACGAAGACAATTACAGGAACTTTTTGATCTATACAATTGCTAACTAATAAATAGTTACCTAAATGAAAACTCAAAAGTAAATTACCTCTGTGAAATAAGGGTTAATTGTTTAGACTCAATCTCTTTACTCTTCTCCTATCTCTTACACTCAATCAGATTCACCTATCGATAGAACCTATGCTGCAAAATATATTGGAATCTCTAGCTACTGCTGTTTAGTCCTCTACATGGATGAAATTGTCTAACAAATTTAAATTTAATATCCATCCCTACCTTAAGTATTCTCATTCATCAACAGTATCTTTACTTTTTTGATGCTTTTAGGTATTTTAGGAAGATCTGTGTCTCAGTTTTCAATCAAGAAGGATTTTTTTATGCTATTCTTAAAAAATCAATACCAAGACACATATTTGCAAATTATGAAGGAAAATTAACTTTAAAATGCAGAAAAAGAGAAAGACGAGGATAAATATGTTGAGAAGAATGAGTATGTATTTGCTGAAAATTAATATCTACAATAGCAAAAGGAAACCTAAACATAAGGAACATAAGCAATAGAAGGAAGAGAAGGTAGAGGAGAAGAAGATGAAGAAGTTAAGAGACTTGATAATACAATACCAGCCAGAAAAATTACTGTACCTACTTTTAGTAGTAAATAAAAGCAATCATTAGATTTAGAGTCTGTTTCCCCTTTCAATATTAATAAAATTGACAAAGATAACCAATAACACAAAGGCTTTGGAGCTGTAGCAGCATAGTTAGACGAATTATCAAATAAAATTCAACATGACTGCTCAAATCATGAAAATAATAATGTTTCATAACAGCAAAATTTGTAGATTAATAAGTTTTATTAAGTCTAAGACTCAGTGCTTTAGGAATATTAGCGAGGCCATGGAGAATTATTACGCAATTAATTTACAGAAGAAAATTATGAGTTTTCTCCTAACAAATAGAGCTTATTGCAATCCTAGTTTAAAAAATAGAGTTCCTTAGTCAGCCCCTCAACTTATTAATCAAAACTATAACAAAAAATTAAAAAAAGTACCAGTCTAAACACCTAAATAGTCAAAAGTATTGAAGAAAAGATGAAAAATATGGAAAACATCCATAATAAAAAATTATCTGATAAACTACTCCAGTTTATATTTAAAACGAGGTACTTCACTTTACTTCATTTGAATTAATTCATTTTTTATATATTAAAAAATTTTTTTCTATCTAAATTAAAGACTTTTCAAGAAGAAGAAAGAGCTGGTTGGAGGACTCAAAAAAAGCTAGCTCCAACAAATCGAGTCTTAAATAAATAAAGAATTGGATATCATGAACTTCGTTAAAGATATTCTGTTTTTGAAAAAAGCAATCATGCTTGTCTTTGACCCTGATCAGCTAGTAGCGCTGTAACTTATAGGCTGTTCGCAACATTTTTTAGACTAGTAATTGGATGATTTAGAATCAGATCCTAATTAATTTGGTAAAAACATAAATGTATATTTTGATATATTTATTATAAATTAATTCTATTATAATAAAGAAAATGACACTACACTGAGTTTCTATGAAAAGCAATTTGCCGTTTCACAATCAGAGAAATTATAGCAACATTACATGAAGAGATTCTTAGATAAATGTACGAATAAAAGAAATTTTAACGAATTGGATGAAAGAATTTTAGCTTCTCTCAAAAACTGAAAAACCAAATGATCATTTTTTGCCTCAAAAGGTTCTGATTCAAAGCTCTAAAAAAAAACTTGATCTTATTGCAAAATTTAGAAAAACATAAATTTAAAAAAGAAATTATTCTAGATTTTTTTACTTTTTATTATTATTATTATTATTAAGTATTAGTAAGTATTATATATTTTTTAGTAAATTTGAATTATTTTAACTTTATTTCTTTATATTTTAATTCAAATAAACTTCTTTTTCTTTATTAAAGTTAATATCATACGAAAGCAAATTCTAACTATTTTATTTAAATTTATTTACAATTATGACTTTTTTATCTTTTGTTTGATAGATTGATGATTTGATATAATATAAATTATATTCGATAAATTTTTAAATATTGATGGATTCATGATTGTAATTAATTAATTGATAATAAATGAATATATAAATTACTTATACGTCATTTTTCAAAAATTGTGTTAATCAATCACATATATTTTGTATGAATATTCATAATGATTAATAAAATTTAGCTTAATTAACTCTTGTGATTCCCATTCATCTAAAAAATGAATAAAATAAAAATTCCTCATTTTTACCTATTCACCCAACACCACCTAAAACCTATTATAATCACAAAATAAAATTAAAGAACAATTTAAAGGAAAAATCTGAAATAGATTTTATAAAAAAAGACAAAAATATATGAGAATTAACAATCGGAGCATTTTTAAATCAGCATGTAGAAAAAACCTTCCTTCTATACTGCAAATTTTTCACCTTCCAAGTACTTTACTTCATTTTCAGACTTTTTTAAAAACTTTTATTTTTTGTATTTTGATTATTTTTCTTAAGCATTTTATAATCAAATAAAAAGACATTAATTAAGATTTAGAACAATAAAATGTTCATATTTAATTAACTAATTAATTAATATAATAATCATTTGAAATATCACAAATCATGATATGATTAATGGTTGATTTGTGATATTTCAAGTACAGGAAGAAACAGCTATATTTATAAAATACTTTTAAATAATTTAAATTAAATCCAATTAGGCATACGGCATACAGTCTGATCTGATAGCTGTTAATATAAATTTTGATATAATTTTTTTAAAGGTATTAATTATTAAATATTTAATATTTTTTAGGCCACTGTGTAAACTATCAGTGATACATCTATTATTAGTTCAAATAATCTATTTTTTCCTTATACGCTATCATTATTTTAGATTCTGATCAAAGGTAGACATTATTGAGTTTATTTGATTCAGTTCTTTAATATCTAAGTACAAAAATTAATTAAATCTAGTCAATTTATGTGCTTTAGTATTGGAATAGCTAAGAATACTGACTGCTCTTTCAATCTAGATTCAGTTAATTTAAAAAAGTAATTATTACTCTAAGCAATTATAAGCTAAAAAGATATACTTTAGAATAATTATTTTTGACTATCTATGCAAATAAAATTATAGCAGCTCTTCAAGTCAATCCTAAAGTTAAAGAGAGCGTCCTTAATTAAATTACCATAATTTTATAAAATTCACAACAAAAAAGTGAAAATTAATTAAGCAAAACATAACAAATTATTTAATAATAGCGAAATTTTTTATGAGAGTTTTATTGATTGCTTTAAAATATTGAATTCTACTACCTAAAGCTCATCATTAATATTTTAGTGGCTTATTAGCTATACTTTATCACAAACTATGGTGCAAAAACAAATGAATTTATCAGAATAAATAGGAAATCTACTTTTAACAAAATTATCAGTAGAACTTCTATAGAACGAAATTTAATCTCTAAGTACATTATAAACAACATCTAAGAATCTTTTAAAATATGCTATCTTTTAACTAGCCACAATAAGATAATTCAAATATATATAATGCTGTACTGACTAGCTATTCTGCTAATCCTTTTATTCAAACTGATTGCTTCTAATAGTAATTTAACTTTAAAAACAAGTCCTGATAAAATAATTTCTATAAATCTTGTTGTAAATATCGCCTCTAGTTAAGGATTAAAAAATTTAATTATGCATTAATTTTTGAATATAAAATCATCAAAATTTAATATAATTTGCTTTTAGCTATAATCTTAATCAAAATACACTCATTAAGACTGTAAATTGATTTATTTAGCCTAACTAGTTCATTGGGAATATAAAATATTTCTAAATTTAAAACATTCTATGAGTATGCAATATTTTGAAATTTTAGTTCAATTACATAAATCGAAATAGAATTCTGTGTTTATGGTAAAACGCACTATTCTAAGAATAAATTGCATTTGTGGTATCTATGACAAAAGATAATCCAATATCTTTGTGAATTTTGATAATTTTAATTAAAAAATTGAAGATGAATAATATCAACTACAATCAATTACATTAATAAAAATAAGAATCAGATAAATAATAAAAAAAGGTATTGATTATTTACAGTAATAATAACAATAATCTTAATTAAAGAGAAACTAAATCAAATACAATCCTAAAAAAACCTGATTATGATTATAAGGAAGTAAATTATTGTTTAATGATAAGAAAAAGATACTTGCAATCTTTATCTGATAACCTAAGCATTTAATGAATATATCTCAATTCAAAAGATAATAAATAATTTTTATATTTTTATTTGTATTTTGTTTGGTTTTAGATATGAAAGTTTAACATTTTAATTAATTACCTTACAAAAATCTAAAATATTATTGTAAGTTTTAAGTACAATGTATAACTCTCTTTCTAACTAGATGAAAATATCTATAACATAAACCATATTAGATGATTACCCTAAGTTCTTAAAAAATTTTGCTTGGTAACCATTATTTTCTTTTAAAAATAAGTTAAAAAAAAATTACATCACAAAATAATGAAAATATATTTTATTTTTTATATAATTGCCCTCCTTTTTTAAATCTTAAAATATTCCATTGTGCCCTCATTTTACAAATTTTGATTCATAAATACATATAAAAAAATTAAAAATGATATTTTATTTTAACTTTTAAAACCTAATGGCTATGTGCTATTTAGCAGCAATAGCCATTTTTTAAAATAGCAAAGTGCTATAATAATTCTATTATAAAATATAAAAATCAAATTTTTAATAAATAACTAAAAAATCTATTTCATAATAAGTGACATACAAAGGACTGAATTTTTGAATGGCATTTTGCTATAAACTAATTTACAATAATAGATTTAATTTAAAAATAATATTTAATGGATAAAATTACAAAATTAGTATTTTTTATATTAAAATAATTTATAGCTTAAAAATGAATTTAATTCTTGGGTTTAAGTGTGCATGAGCTATAATTTAATTCATGGAAATGGAAGTGCTATAAAATAAATATGTCAAATAAATAATGAGTTAATGTATGGTTTCAAATCAATAAAAAGATAGAACCACCAAATATTAATGAAGATTTTGAGAGAGTAATTTAATACTTGAATATTGATTGATTATTTTTTTAATGGTTTCAATGTAAATTATTCTTGCTAAAATTCTTTGTATCTTCCTTAGAAGTAATTTAAAAGAAACTAATTATATATATAAGAAAAGTGATATATATTGCATTTAAATTGTAAATTAAAGTAAATTATATTCATATTAATTTCTGTAAAAAATAGTGATTAACTTGCTACTTTAAATCAAAAATAGAAACAAATCAAAAGGAAATTAATTATAATTGATAGTTATTAAGAAAGAATTCTTTGAAAACTTTAAAAAGTCAATTAATTAAATTAGTAAATAACACTAATTAATTTCGATCAAGCTTATCTAAGTTTTGAGCAAAAATGCTAATATTTTGTAAGGATAATCTTTCTTTTTTATTCATTAAATTAATGATACATATAAATATTTATAGGTATTTTGCTTGCTTTAAAAATAGTCTAAGCATAGGATTGCTCATTACTTCTCTAAAAAACTAAACCAACTACTGCACCTTTGGGTAAATTTTAAATTCTAAAATTATAAATGCAACCAACTATTAAAACTTAAATGAAATTTAGGCTACTCCTGCAAAATTAGTACATCTACAACTTTCAATGCTACTTAAATTTAAAATAAAACCACGTATAAACTAAGGGCATATAATTTAAATAGTAGTTTCATTGATGCACATGCTAATATTAGATAACCTTAATGTGCGAATCTTATCTAAGCAATCGATTATAATTATCCAAACTTAAATTTTGAGATTAATGGAGATAGCATGTTATAGTATATAAATAATATATACATAGGCTTTGATTTATATACCACTTAGTTATTTTAGGGATTAAATATTACTTCAAGTTGGAATTCATAAGCGTAATAAACTCTATCTTTCAATTCGTAAGATTTTTCTCAATAAATAGATGCTTGCAGTGTATATTATGTAAATGTATTCGCAAAAATAGATTTGACTAGCTAAACAAATAAATTTAGTTCAATATCGATTATTTTTACTAGTTTGGTTGATAATAATACAGTGATTTTAATTTCGATTTCAAATCTATAGGTTCTCTTTTACTACAAAGTAAATTTTATTGATTTCTTCATTTTTTAGAAGTTATTTTTTACTCAAAGTCATTTTTTTAAAATAAATGCTAGCAAAGTTCCTGCTTATTATTTTATTCAGAACTTTATCTGTTAGTTTTAATATTTTTTTTAATAAAATTAATTTATTTTCGCTGTACTTTTTAACAACTTAGTTTATTTTTTAGCCATTTTAATAGCCACTAATTATTTAATTAGATAATTTCAATATATTATTATGTATTTAGTTTTTAGATGTAATCATTTTGTTTTAAAATATTTAATAGTGTCCGATTGGCTGTATGGGTGACTGTCCTTCGGGGAATTGCCAATCTTGCTAAAGCGGCTACGATCTTATCAGTGGTTCGTGTGTATTAAAGTGCGGTTAAAGATAATACTCGAAAGTAGTAGATGCCTCTTCATAATAAACTTGCTAACCCTGTCTTACTCATTGCAATGTATGTGCTAATGGAAATACTTGTACAAATTGTGATAGTGGTTATACTTTCGCTTTCGTTAATGGTTCAGCTTAGTGCTATCCATCATGTAGCTAACCTAGCCAGTATATTGATTCATAAGGTATTTGCCAAAATTGTATGTAATATTGCAGCAATTGCAACACAGCAACATTTTGTACGGCTTGTTTTACAGGATTCACTTTGAATGCTAACAATGCTTCTTGTTAATGTAACGGTGTTATTAACAATAATATATGCAATCCTTGTACTTCTCCTTGTTAAACTTGTAATGATAACTCAGTAAGCTGCAAAACCTGTATAAATAATTACTACCTTGTTAAAGATTATCCAAATTAGTCTTAATCTTAATGTCTTTAAATATGCCCTAATAACTATTAACTAATCAATAATACTTGCTAATTATGTATTTAGACTATTTACAACAGTTGTTTTAATTGCCCTAGTACTTGTAGATCTTGCTCTCCATCTTAAATTAACAAGTGTTAAGATTGTTATCCTGGAATGCAGCTTAATAGTAATGGTTTATGCGAACCTTAGCCCTAACCCGGACTATAAGTAGATAGTAGAAATCTCAAATTTTATTATTGTAGCTATAATAATATAGCAGTTATTTAGGCTACTTTTTCAAACTCAAGTCCAACATTAACTCTGGAATTCGGAATTAATTTAGTTACTATACCTGGACTACAATGCAATTAAATATTTGACTCTGATACTCTAAATTTGCTAGGCTCTAGTACATGCTCTATCAGTTTATCATAAATCATTGTGACATTAAGTATATTTTATTAAATAATGGATTAAATATTAATATAATTAATTCTTAAAAATAGGTTAAGATGCTAATTTAATGGTTAACTAAGTCATAACTATAACTACCACTGCTTAGATACTTTAATTCTAAGGATTTAGTTCAAAAATTGATACTATTTATCTGATTTCTTATGTTTAACAACCAGTTACTCCTTAAGTGAATGTTCTATACAATTAAGTTGTAAATTCTTGTAATGACATCTAATTCTAAATTTAAACACCATAAAATGATGCAGGAAGAGGTTTCTTAAATATAAAATGGATATTATCTAACCCATAAAATTTCAGTTAAATAGTTATGCTGACCTTATTAGATATTATAACTACAGCTAACGATAATCAAAGTTTTACTTTGTTTATCCCAAAATTAACTATTCCCGTAAATACTGACATATCTATTAAGATCGCCTACACTCTCAAAGTCTCTTAAAGCAACACCTTGTCTTTTACAACCAAATATTAATAAATGAAGCAAATTATTATTAGCCCATTTTAAAGTAAATAACCTCCAATATATAGGTAAAAAAGGCTAATTTTAACATATTTTCTACAATAAAATTATTTTTTTTCTTGTTATTATTTAAAATAAAATTTCATTAATTTAATTAATTCTATTTTATTTCATTTTTAAAAAATATATTTTTTTAGCAAATCAATATAGCTATTTTCAGAAAATTATTTCTCGAGTTAGAAATATAGACTCAGTAAAATAAGAAATATTATTTAATATTATATTAAAAAAAATAAAATAAATAAAAAAAAGGTTTTGAAACAGGTTTCGAACCTGATAGAAGAAAAAAATAAAAAATGTTTAATCAAAGATGCAAATTAAATAATATATTAATTATTTTTTTTTATATTACATTCTATCCCACCCAATATCCATAACTTAAATTAATATCTTTATAAATTAAATACAAAAAAATATTTTTTTTAGAAAAATAAAAAAATAATAAGTAAAACATAATTTTATCTTTTGTTAAATTATTATTTTTATTTTATTAATATTATTTAATTCAATAGGTATATGGACTTGTAAATCACATATTTTTTTACTATCTAATCATGTGATTTGAATGGGATTCAATTTTTTTAAGATTAGATTGAAATCTAAATTACTTCATCAGTTTTACCTTCTCTTAACAAAAATTTAACTAAATTCGATGATCAATAAATATAATTAGAAATACAACCTTATCTTATACCTACTAGTACAAATTTAGATATTTAGGTAAAATTTATTTTTATTATTCTATTAACTATTAATTATTTAATATTTTTTAGGTTTCTGTGTAAATTAGTAGCGATGCATCTATTAGTAGTACAAATACTTTATCTGTAGCTTACACGGTACCATAAATTTAGATTCTGATCTAAAATGGATCTGATATGCTTGTTAATTATAAAAACAATCTTACTCTAATTGGATTGGCACGAGATTATGAAATTCAAGATCCTAACACTTCACAAGGAATACAACTAAGTTGGCATTGCAGATCTTTGTAAGTATAAAATGGGGATAACTAATGTTACACATATAAAAAGGAAGTTTATGTACCATAAAATACTTAGAATATTACAATCGATGGTGGTACTTTCAACCCTTATTAAATCCTCAGCTTCACTATTTAAGGATCTAAAGATTCTAGAACTTCCTAGTATAGCTCTTTAATTATTTTTGCAGAGACAGATCTTCCTCCTCTCTTGGTTGTATTTGATGACCCTAGGTAATTATAACAGATTAACATAAACGAAGATATTCATGCAACTCTTATTTATGGCTCAAATGTACCTTCGGACATTCTAACTTATGCTGGAGCAATTCTCTACAATAATTTAGTTGTAGGAGTAATTAAATTTGATTATTATAAACTTAAATTTAGAATTTGGGATTATTTTTCTGATATAAAAGCAGATAATCTAATTGTTCAAATCAGATTTACTGTATATAATCCTGCCAATATAATGCCTAGTTTAAGTGTAACAAACTTTAATATAAACTTACCTCCTTCAAATTGCGTTCTTTCTGTTACTCCTTCAAGCGGTTAGGCTTTAACTACCTAATTCACTATTCAATTTAATGGTTGCGTAGCCCTTAATAATCCTATAACTTACTAATTATTCTATTATAACCAGACCTCTGATGTACTAAAAGAAATTTAAATCCCATAGAATATCCTAAGAAGATAATTACAGGATTAGAGTTTACAGTCCAAAATTATTACCAATCTCCCTTCAGGAAATATAGTAATTATGGGTCAAGCTATGGATTCTTACTTAGCTGTCTTTAATACTACTATTTAAGTGAATATTTCTCCATTCTAGGGAGATGAGCAGACATTATTGAGTTTAATAGGTTCGGCGCTTTCATAGTAAAATATAAAAGTAAATTAAATGCTCATTAATTTATGCATTATTGGTGAAGAAATATCTAAGAACACTGCTCTTTACAATCTAGATTCTATTAACTTCAGAAAGTAATTGTTAGTATAGTCAATTACAGTGCTTACGGTGAATTTTTACAAAAAATATTTAATATTACATATAAATAGAAAGATATACAAATTTGTTAATATAATCAATATTCAGTCATACAACCTTATAATTCAATGCATTTCTATAATCTTGAACTCATAGAACAAATCTCCCTCTACAAAACGGTATATGGATATAGGGTTTTATACTTGAATTGAGTATAGATAATATTTAAATAATTTTGTAAAAATTGACCGTAAGCACTGTATAAGCTATTCAAATAGGCTTTCAAGTAATTCTTTTTTGTCTACTTATGGAAATAAAATTATAGCAGCTCTTCAAGCTTCCATAAATAATAATTATCAAACCTAAAGTTATAAAGTCCTTGAATATGTTAATACAACTTTGCAAAACTCACAGCAAAAAATTGCAAATTAAAAGAATTATAATAAATTATTTAATAATAACGATATTGTTCTATAGAATTTGATTGATTGCTTTAAAATATTGAACTCAACTACCCAAGAGGCATCATAAGACTCTTTTAGATCCCTTTCTTCTAATCAAACCATGTTGCAACAACAAATGGATTTATCAGATTAAATAGGAAATCTATTAAACAACATTACCCTTCCCAATTAAGGAGACCTTTAATTACAAGGAAATTTAATCTCTATAAGCACAGAGTAAATAACATCTAAGAATCTTTAAAAATACATGTTTATTTTAAACTAGCCATCATAAAATGATTCAAACATTTATAATGTTGTCTTGACTAACTATTCTTATAACCCTTTTATTAATACTGAAGGCTTTTAGTCATATATAAATTAACTTTAAAACACGACTCCTGGTATATAAGTTTCTATAAATCCTGTGGTAAAACCGTCTATCTAAAATGTAAACAATACCTTTAGTTAAGGGCTTAATAATTCTCTTACTCTTTAATTTTCGAATATAAAACCATCAAAATATAATTTAACTTGCTTGTAGCAACAATCTTAATCAAACTGGAATCAATCAGATTGTAAATTGATTTAATCTACACTAAGTGGATCATATGTTTGTCTATGTAAAGATCAAAAACCCACTACTATAGCCGAAGATTTATAAGATCTTCTTGATAATAAAAATTTAAAAACTGCATTTGGTTCATAGGGAATATAAAATATTTCTAATTTTACAACATTCTATGAGTATGCTGTATTTTGGATTCTGAGTTCTGTTACACTAATCCAAATAGGACTCTGTATTTATGGTAATTAGCTAGATTCTAAGAATAAAATTACATTTGTAGGATCTATGTCAAAAATCAATCCAATATCTTTAGTAAATTTTGAAAATTTTGATTTAAAAATTACAGATGAATAATAGCAACTACAACTAAATTAATAAAAATAAGAATCAGATAAATTATAATAAAAGGAATCTATTGCTTTTATAAATTACTTGCATTAAAAATAATAATCTTAAAGAGCTACGCAATCAAATATAAACCTAAAAAGACCTGAATATGATTATCAAGGAAGTAAATTATTTATTTAATAATAAGAAAATGATATAAACAACCAAAAAGTTTAGAACTTTTAGTCTTTATCTGATAACCAAAGCATTTAAAGCATATATCTGGGTTCAAAAGATAATAAATAGGAATAAAAATTGGATTAACCTAACATCATTACTGAATATAAAAAAACAAATAATATTGAAGACAAAGAACAAAGTAAAGAATAATAAAAGGATATAGTTGAAATATTAAAAGGATCAAAAAATACTCAAAAATTAATGCAGACCTCTTTGTTGAAAAAGATATTAATTTTTCACAATTTTAGCAGTATTTTCTTTGTTTACAGTAGTTAAGAATCTAGACCACTAAGATTTAGCATTTTCTACTTAAGAATAATTCACTCATTAAGCATATCAACGATTTTTGATTAACAGTACAATGAAGAGTAGATTATTATAGTTTCACTTATAAACTCTGTTATTGTGATAGCAAGTGTTACGTTAATTAGATTTTTGTATAAATCTAGAAAAATATTTAAAATAGTTGCGTTTTTGGTAATGATGGGTTTACTTGTACTATATTATTATATAATTTTATCAATTGTAAGTGGTCAAATAAATGATTTCTCAAATAAAAGGATATCTTACTTTTTTATAATGTTTGGAGTAGATTTCTTGATCTTATCAACATTAATCTCTATAATTAACATATTTGCATTTATTAAAATAGTTAAAAATGCAATTAAAAATAAATATATATTAAAATTATTAAGTTTATTATAAATATAAGATATTTTAGAAAATTTAGCTTTGTGATTTTCTAAATAAAAGTTTCATTATTGTTTGTCTTTATGTTAGTTTAAGATATGAACATTTAATATTTTAATTTCTGTAATGCATAGATCATGAAATTTTATGAAAATGTATAAATTTAGGAAAGTATATTCGAAATATCTTAGTCTTTAAAAATTACCATGGTTGGTTTTTTATATTTTCCAAAATATTAAATAATAATTGTAAAAATTGTTAATTTTAGAGATTTTAAAAAATTTTCTTTAAAAAAATAACATAAATAAAAGTTTTAAGTATTTTGATTATTTTTCGTAAGCATTTTATAATCAAATATAAAGAAATGAATTAAGATGAAGAATAATAAAATGTTCATATTTAATTAACTTATTAATTAATATAAAAATCATTTGAAATATCACAAATCATGCTATAATTAATGGTTGGTTTGTGATATTTTAAATAAAAAAAAGAGCAGCTATATTTATTAAACAATTTTCAATAATTTAAATTAAATTCAATTAGGCATACAGCTTGATCTTATAGCTGCTGTTAATATAAATTTAGATATTATTTTTTTAAAGGTATTAATTATTAAATTTTTAATGTTTTTTAGGTCACTCTGTAAACATAGCAGTGATACATTTATTATTAATTCAAATAATATATTTTTTCCTTATACGCTATTATTACTTTAGATTCTGATCAAAGGTAGTAGACATTATTGAGTTTATTTGATTCAGCTCTTTAATAGCTAAGTACAAAAATAAATTAAATCTAGTCAATTTATAATTTTGGTAGCGGAATAGCTAAAAATACTGACTGCTCTTTTCAATCTAGATTCAGTTAATTTAAAAAAGTAATTATAAGTCTACGCAATTATAAGCTAAAAAGATATACTTTAGAATAATTCTTTTTTACTATCTATGCAAATAAAATTATATCAGCTCTTCAAGTCAATTCTAAAGTTAAAGAGAGCGTCCTTAATTAAATTACCATGATTTTATAAAATTCACAACAAAAAAGTGAAAATTAATTAAGCAAACATAATAAATTATTTAATAATAGCGACAGGTTTTTTTAGAGTTTAATTGATTGCTTTAAAATATTGAACTCTGCTACCTAAATACTTTAGTGGCTTATTAGCAATACTTAATCACAAACTATGGTGCAAAAACAAATTGATTTATATGACTAAATAGGAAATCTGCTAAACAAAATTATCCTTCCCAACTAAGTAGAGCTTCTACAACAAGGAAATCTAATCTCTAAGATCATTATAAACAACATCTAAGAATCTTTTAAAATGCGTTATCTTTTAACTAGCTAGAATAGAATTATTCAAATATATATAATGCTGTACTGACTAGCTATTCTGCTAATCCTTTTATTCAAACTGATTGCTTTTAATAATAATTTAACTTTAAAAACAAGTGCTGATATATAAATTAATATAAATTTTGTGGTAAATATCGCCTTTAGTTAAGAATTTAATAATTTAATTACGCATAAATTTTTGAACATAAAATCATCTAAAATTTAATACTATTTGCTTTTAGCCATAATCTTAATCAAAATGCACTCAATAAGACTGTAAATTAATTTATTTAGCGAAACTAGCTCATATGCATGCATGCGTTTGTAAAAATCAAAAACCAGCTTTGAAGATATTTTATAAATAGATATTCATGATAATAAACATTTAAAAACTATATTTGCCTCTATATAATATTTGTAAATTTAAAACATTCTACGAGTATGCAATATTTTTAAATTTTAGTTCAGTTATATTAATCGAAATATAATTGTTTTTATGGTAAAACGCATGTTTCTAAGATTAATTTCATTTGTAATATCTATGACAAAAGATAATATACATTAGATAGTCAGAGACCTTACAGAATATAAAATCATCTAAATTTAATATTATTTGCTTTTAGCCATAATATTAATCAAAATGCACTCAATAAGACTATAAATTAATTTATTTAGCAAAACTAGCTCATACGCATGCGTTTGTAAAAATCAAAAACCCACAGCTTTGAAGATGATTTATAAATAGATATTCATGATAATAAACATTTAAAACCTATATTTGCATCTATAAAATATTTCTAAATTTAAAACATTCTACAAGTATGCAATATTTTTAAATTTTAGTTCAGTTATATTAATCAAATTGTTTTTATGGTAGAACGCAAGATTCTAAGAATAAATTGCATTTGTACTATCTATGACAAAAGATAATATATATTAGATAGTCAGAGGCCTTACAAAATATAAAATCATCTAAATTTAATATTATTTGCTTTTAGCCATAATCTTTCTAAATCAAAATACACTCAGTTAGACTGTAAATTGATTCATTTAGCAAAACTATCTCATAACATTCGATTGTAAAAATCAAAAATCCACAGCTTTGAAGATGATTTACAAGATAGATATTCATGATAATAAACATTTAAAAACTATATTTGCCTTTGGGAATATAAAATATTTCTAAATTTAAAACATTCTACTAGTATGAAATATTTTTAAATTTTAGTTCAGTTATATTAATCAAATTGTTTTTATGGTAGAACGCACGATTCTAAGAATAAATTGCATTTGTACTATCTATGACAAAAGATAACATATATTAGATAGTCAGAGACCTTACTCAACCTCTATTTTTTTGAGGAATTACAGAAAATATGTAAAAAAAAAATAATTTATTTTTGAAATTATAATAAATTAAATTATTAATTCATTATAATTCTATTATAATATATAAAAAACAGATTTTTATAAATAACTAAAAATCAATTTCATTATCAGTAACATCCAAACGACTGAATTTTTGAATGGCATTTTGCTATAAACTACTTTACAATAATAGATTTAATTTAAAAATAATATTTAATGGATAAAATTACAAAATATCAAATAAAAAACGAGTTAATCTATGGTTTCAAATCAATAAAAAGAACGAACCATCAAATATTAATGATGATTTTGAGAGAGTAATTTAATACTTGAATATTGATTGATTATTTTTTAATGGTTTCAATGTAAATTATTCTTACTAAAATTCTTTGTATCTTCCTAAGAAGTAATTTAAAAGAAACAAATTATATACATAAGAAAAGTGATAAATATATTGCAGTCAAATTGTAAATAAAAGTAAATTATATTCATATTAATTTATGTTATAAATAGTGATTAACTTGCTACTTTAAATCAAAAATAGAAACAAATAAAAAGTAAATTAATTGTAATTGATAATTATTAAGAAAGAATTCCTTGAAAACTTTTAAAAACCATTTAATATAATTAGTAAATAACACTAATTAATTTCCATCAAGCTTATCAAAGTTTTGAGCAAAAATGTTAATATTTTGTAAGGATAATCTTTCTTTTTTATTCATTAAATTAATGATATATGTAAATATTTATAGGCATTTTGCTTGCTTTAAAAATAGTCTAAGGATAGGATTGCTCATTCCTTCTCTCATAACCTAAACCAACCACTGAACCTTTGAGTAAATTTTAAATTCTAAAGTTATAAACGCAACCAACTATTAAAATAAATGAAATTTAGGCTACTCATGCATAATTAGTACATCTAAAGTTTTCGATGCTGCTTTAATTTCAGATAAAAGGACGTATAACTTAGGGCAAGCTAATTTAGAAAATGGCTCTTTCAGCGAGGTATTTGTATCTACTAATTCACCTTAATGTACTCTTATTAAAATAAGAACTCCATTACAACCAAGCGTATATTTTGAGATTAATGGAGATAGCATGTTATAGTATATAAATAATATATACATAAGCTTTGATTATTTATGTAATGAACCTTAAAGATTAAATATTACTTCAAGATGGAATTCATAAGAGTAATAAACTATATCTTTCAATTTTAAAGATTAGAACTTTCCATTACTACCTGATTGCCCTGCTTTACCTAGTAAAAATATATTCGTAAATATAGATTTGACTAGCTTAACAAATAAATTTAGTTCAAGTACCATTTTTATTACTCAATTAAGATAAGATAATACACCGACTATAATTTTTATTACAAATCTATAGGTTCTGATTTACTACAAAGTAAATTTTATTGATTTTTTCATTTTAGAAGTTATTTTTTACTCATAGTCATTATTTTAACATAAATGCTAGCAAAGTTCCAGCTTATTATTTTATTCAGAACTTTATCTGTTAGTTTTTATATATTTTTTATTAAATTTATTTATTTTTGCTGTACTTTTAAACAACTTAGTTTATTTTTTAGCCATTTTAATAGCCACTAATTATTTAATTAGATAATTTGAATATATTATTATGTCTTTTGTTTTTAGATGTAATCATTTTCTTTTAAAATATTTAATAGTGTCCGATTGGCTGCATGGGTGACTGTCCTTCGGGGATTTGCCAATCTTGCTAAAGCGGCCACGATCTTATTAGTGGTTCGTGTGTATTAAAGTGTGGTTAAAGATAATACTTGAAAGTAGAGGCCTCTTCATAATAAACTTGCTAACCCTGTCTTACTCATTGCAATGTATGTGCTAATGGGAATACTTGTTCAAATTGTGATAGTGGTTATACTTACGCTTTCGTTAATGGTTCATTTTAGTGTTATCCGTCATGTACCTAACCTAGCCAGTATATTGATCTAAAAGGTAATTGCCTAAACTGTATGAAATATTGCAGCAATTGTGACACAGCAACTATTTGTACGGCTTGTATTACAGGATTCACCTTGAGTGCTAATAATGCTTCTTGTTAATGTAACGGTTATATTAACAATAATCAATGCCTTCCTTGTACTTCTCCTTGTTAAACTTGTAATGATAACTCAATTACAAGCTGCCAATCCTGTATTAGTAATTACTACCTTGTTAAAGATTATCCAAATTAATCATAATCTTAATGTCTTTAAATATGCCCTAATAACTATTAACTAATCAATAATACTTGCTAATTATGTATTTAGACTATTTACAGCAGTTGTTTTAATTGCCCTAGTACTTGTAGATCTTGCTCTCCATCTTAGATTAATAAGTGTTAAGATTGTTATCCTGGAATGCAGCTTAATAGTAATGGTTTATGCGAACCTTAGCCCTAAACCGGACTATAAGTAGATAGTAGAAATCTCAAATTTTATTATTGTAGCTAAAATAATATAGCTGTTGTTTAGGCTACTTTTTCAAGCTCAAGTCCAACATTAATTCTGGAATTCGGAATTAAATTAGTTAGTATACCTGGGCTACAATGCAATTAAATATTTGACTCTGTTACGCTAAATTTGCTAGGCTCTAGTACATGCTCTACCAATTTATCATAAATCATAGTGACATTAAGTATATTTTATTAAATAATGAATTCAATATTAATATAATATATTCTTAAAAATAGGTTAAGATGCTAATTTAATGGTTAACTAAGTCATAACTATAACTACCACTGCTTAGATACTTTAATTCTAAGGAGTTAGTTCAAAAATTGATACAATTTATTTGATTTCTTATGTTTAGCAACCAGTTACTCCTTAAGTGAATGTTCTATACAATTAAGTTGTAAATTCTTGTAATGACATCTAATTCTAAATTTAAACACCATAAAATGATGCAGGAAGAGGTTTCTTAAATATAAAATGGATATTATCTAACCCATAAAATTTCAGTTAAATAGTTATGCTGACCTTATTAGATATTATAACAACAGCTAACGATAATCAAAGTTTTACTTTGTTTATCCCAAAATAAACTATTCCCGCAAATACTGACATATCTATTAAGATCGCCTACACTCTCAAAGTCTCTTAAAGCAACACCTTGTCTTTTACAACCACATATTAATAAAAGAAGCAAATTATTATTAGCCCATTTTAAAGTAAATAACCTCCAATATATAGGTAAAAAAAGCTAATTTCACATATTTTCTACAATAAAGTTATTTTTTTCTTGTTATTATTTATAATAAAAATTTCAATAATTTAATTAATTCTATTTTATTTCATTTTTAAAAAATATTTTTTTTTAGCAAATCAATAGTAATAATTTTTTAAATTAAAAAAATTTTAAATGAAATAATATATTAATTATTTTTTTTATATTACATTCTACCCCACCCAATATATCCATAACTTAAATTAATATCTTTATAAATTAAATATTAAAAAATATTTTTTTTTAGAAAAATAAAAAAATAATAAGTAAAACAGAATTTTATCTTTTGTTAAATTATTATTTTTATTTTATTTATATTATTTAATTCAATAGGTATATGGACTTGTAAATCACATATTTTTTTACTATCTAATCATGTGATTTGAATGGGATTCAATTTTTTTAGGATTAGATTGAAATCTAAATTACTTCATCAGCTCTACCTTCTCTTAACAAAAGTTTAACTAAATTCGATGATCAATAAATATAATTAGAAATACAACCTTATGCTATACCTCCTAGTACAAATTTAGATATTTAGGTAAAATTTATTTTTATTATTCTATTAACTATTAATTATTTAATATTTGTTAGGTTTCGGTGTAAATTAGTAGCGATACATCTATTAGTAGTACAAATACTTTATCTGTAGCTTACACGGTACCATAACTTTAGATTCTGATCTAAAATGGAGCTGATATGCTTGTTAATTATAAAAACAATCTTACTCTAATTGGATTGGCACGAGATTATGAAATTCAAGATCCTAACACTTCACAAGGAATACAACTAAGTTGGCATTGCAGATCTTTGCAAGCATAAAATGGGGATAACTAATGTTACACATATAAAAAGGAAGTTTATGTACCATAAAATACTTAGAATATTACAATCGATGGTGGTACTTTCAACCCTTATTAAATCCTCAGCTTCACTATTTAAGGATCTAAAGATTCTAGAACTTCCTAGTATAGCTCTTTAATTATTTTTGCAGAGACAGATCTTCCTCCTCTCTTGGTTGTATTTGATGACCCTAGGTAATTATAACAGATTAACATAAACGAAGATATTCATGCAACTCTTATTTATGGCTCAAATGTACCTTCGGACATTCTAACTTATGCTGGAGCAATTCTCTACAATAATTTAGTTGTAGGAGTAATTAAATTTGATTATTATAAACTTAAATTTAGAATTTGGGATTATTTTTCTGATATAAAAGCAGATAATATAATTGTTCAAATCAGATTTACTGTATATAATCCTGCCAATATAATGCCTAGTTTAAGTGTAACAAACTTTAATATAAACTTACCTCCTTCAAATTGTGTTCTTTCTGTTACTCCTTCAAGTGGTCAGGCTTTAACTACCTAATTCACTATTCAATTTAATGGTTGCGTAGCCCTTAATAATCCTATAACTTACTAATTATTCTATTATAACCAGACCTCTGATGTACAAAAAGAAATTTAAATCCCTTAAAATATCCTAAGAAGATAATTACAGGATTAGAGTTTACAGTCCAAAATTATTACCAATCTCCCTTCAGGAAATATAGTAATTATGGGTCAAGCTATGGATTCTTACTTAGCTGTCTTTAATACTACTATATAAGTGAATGTTTCTCCATTCTAGGGAGATGAGCAGACATTATTGAGTTTAATAGGTTCGGCGCTTTCATAGTAAAATATAAAAGTAAATTAAATGTTCATTAATTTATGCATTATTGGTGAAGAAATAACTAAGAGCACTGCTCTTTACAATCTAGATTCTATTAACTTCAGAAAGTAAATGTTAGTATAGTCGATTATAAGCTATTCAAATAGGCTTTAGAGTAATTCTTTTTTGTCTACTTATGGAAATAAAGTTATAGCAGCTCTTCAAGCTTCCATAAATAATAATTATCAAACTTAAAGTTATAAAGTCCTTGACTATGTTAGTACAACTTTGCAAAACTCACAGCAAAAAATTGCAAATTAAAACAATAATAATAAATTATTTTAGAATAACGATATTGTTCTTTAGAATTTGATTGATTGCTTTAAAATATTGAACTCAACTACCCAAGAAGCATTATAAACGCTTTAGTAGCAAAGTAACAATAATGGTAAAAGACATTTAAAAAATTAAGAAGATTATTCAGACTCTTTTAGATCCCTTTCTTCTAATCAAACCATGTTGCAACAACAAATTGATTTATCAGACTAAATAGGAAATCTATTAAACAACATTACCCTTCCCAATTAAGGAGACCTTTAATTACAAGGAAATTTAATCTCTATAAGCACAGAGTCAATAACATCTAAGAATCTTTAAAAATACATGTTTATTTAAAACTAGCCATCATAAAATGATTCAAACATTTATAATGTTGTCTTGACTAACTATTCTTATAACCCTTTTATTAATACAGAAGGCTTTTATTCATATATAAATTAACTTTAAAACACGACTCCTGGTATATAAATTTCTATAAATTCTGTGGTAAAACCGTCTATCTAAAATGTAAACAATACCTTTAGTTAAGGGCTTAATAATTCTCTTACTCTTTAATTTTCGAATATCAAACCATCAAAATATAATTTAACTTGCTTGTAGCAACAATCTTAATCAAACTGGACTCAATCAGATTGTAAATTGATTTAATCTACCCTAAGTGGATCATATGTTTGTCTATGTAAAGATCAAAAACCCACTACTATAGCAGAAGATTTATAAGATCTTCTTGATAATAAAAATTTAAAAACTGCATTTGGTTAATAGGGAATATAAAATATTTCTAATTTTACAACATTCTATGAATATGCTGTATTTTGGATTCTGAGTTCAGTTACACTAATCCAAATAGGACTCTGTATTTATAGTAATACACTAGATTCTAAGAATAAAATTACATTTGTAGGATCTATGTCAAAAATCAATCCAATATCTTTAGCAAATTTTGAAAATTTTGATTAAAAAATTACAGATGAGTAAAATCAACTACAACTAAATTAATAAAAATAAGAATCAGATAAATTATAATAAAAGGAATCGACTGTTTTTATAAATTACTTGCAATCAAAATAAGAATCTTAAAGAGCTACGCAATCAAATATAAATCTAAAAAGACCTGATGATAATTATCAAGGAAGTAAATTATTTGTTTAATAATAAGAAAATGATATAAACAACCAAAAAGTTTAGAACTTGTAGTCTTTATCTGATAACCAAAGCATTTAAAGCATATATCTGAGTTCAAAAGATAATAAATAGGAATAAAAATTGGATTAACAGAACATCATTACTGAATAAGCTAATGATAAAAAAACAAATAATATTGAAGACAAAGGCAAACAAAGTAAAGAATAATAAAAGGATATAGTTGAAATATTAAAAGGATCAAAAAATACTCAAAAATTAATGCAGACCTCTTTGTTGAAAAAAATATTAATTTTTCACAATTTTAGCAGTATTTTCTTTGTTTACAGTAGTTAAGAATCTAGACCACTAAGATTTAGCATTTTCTACTTAAGAGTAATTCACTCATTAAGCATATCAACGATTTTTGATTAACAGTACAATGAAGAGTAGATTATTATAGTTTCACTTATAAACTCTGTTATTCTGATAGTAAGTGTTTCGTTAATTAGATTTTTGTATAAATCTAGAAAAGTATTTAAAATAGTTGCTTTTTTGGTAATGATGGGTTTGCTTATACTATATTATTATATAATTTTATCAATTGTGAGCGGTCAATCAAATGATTTCTCAAATAAAAGGATATCTTCCTTTTTTATAATGTTTGGAGTAGATTTCTTCATCTTATAAACATTAGTCTCTATAATTAACATATATGCATTTATTAAAATAGTTAAAAATGCAATTAAAAACAAATTTATATTAAAATTATTAAGTTTATTATAAATATAAGATATTTTAGAAAATTTAGCTTTGTGATGTTCTAAATAAAAGTTTCATTATTGTTTGTCTTTATGTTAGTTTATAATATGAACATTTAATATGTTAATTTTTGTAATGCATAGATCATGAAATTTTATGAATCTTGAGTAAGGTAAACTATATCTCAAAATGCATAAATTTAGGAAAGTATTTTCGAATTATTTTAGTTTTTAAAAATTACCATGGTTTTTTATATTTTCCAAAATATTAAATAATAATTGTAACCGACCCCAGACCCAATCTAAAAAATTTTATGTATGCCCCGTGGGGCAGTTGTCTCATTTTATATTATATATTTTTATTCAATCAGATTTAATTACTTTTTTGAATTTTCTTATTTCTACTTAGCTTAACTAAACAATTAATTAATTAAAAACGAATGTGTGTAATTAAATTCGATTTACTTATATAGTCGTTTCCAAAAGACGAAATTTTTGAATGGCATTTTGCTATAAATCCAATTAGGCATACAGCCTGATCTTATAGCTATTAATATAAATTTAGATATAATTTTTTTAAAGGTATTAATTATTAAATATTTAATATTTTTTAGGTCACTGTGTAAACTATCAGTGATACATTTATTATTAATTCAAATAATCTATTTTTTCCTTATACACTATCATTACTTTAGATTCTGATCAAAGGTAGACACTATTGAGTTTATTTGATTCAGCTCTTTAATATCTAAGTACAAAAATAAATTAAATATAATCAATTTATGTGTTTTTGGTAGCGGAATAGCTAAGAATACTGACTGCTCTTTTCAATCTAGATTCAGTTAATTAAAAAAGTAATTATTTGTCGACGCAATTATAAGCTAAAAAGATATACTTTAGAATAATTATTTTTGGCTATCTATGCAAATAAAATTATAGCAGCTCTTCAAGTCAATTCTAAAGTTAATAAGAGCATCCTTAATTAAACTACCATAATTTTATAAAATTCACAACAAAAAAGTGAAAATTAATAAAGCAAACATAATAAACTATTTAATAATAGTGACATATTTTTTTAGAGTTTAATTGATTGCTTTAAAATATTGAAATCTACTACCTAAATACTTTAGTGGCTTATTAGAAATACTTTATCACAAACTACGGTGCAAAAACAAATGGATTTATATGACTTAAAAGGAAATCTACTAAACAAAATTATCCTTCCCAACTAAGTAGAGCTTCTACTACAACGAAATTTAATATCTTAGCACATTATAAACGATATCTAAGAATCTTTTAAAATACGTTATCTTTTAACTAGCTATAATAAAATAATTCAAATATATATAATGCTGTACTGAATAGCTATTCTGATAATCCTTTTATTCAAACTGATTGCATTTAATAATAATTTAACCTTAAAAACAAGTCCTGATTTATAAATTTCTATAAATCTTGTGGTAAATATCTCCTCAAGTTAAGGATTTAATAATTTAATTATGCATTAATTTTTGAAAATAAAAACATCTAAATTTAATATAATTTGCTTTTAGCCGTAATCATAATCAAAATGCACTCAGTAAGACTGTAAATTGATTTATTTAGTCAAATTAACTCATATACATTTGTTTGTAAAAATCAAAAACCCACAGCTTTGAAGATGATTTATAAGATAGATATTCGTGATAATAAACATTTAAAAACTATATTTGCCTCTGAAAATATAAAATATTTCTAAATTTAAAACATTCTACGAGTATGCAATATTTTTAAATTTTAGTTCAGTTACATTAATCGAAATAGAATTGTGTTTATGGTAAAACGCACAATTCAAAGAATAAATTGCATTTGTAATATCTATGACAAAAGATAATCCAATATCTTTGTGAATTTTGATAATTTTAATTAAAAATTTGCAGATGAATAATATCAACTACAATTAATTACATTAATAAAAATAAGACTAAAAATAAAAGGAATTGACTATTTGCATAGATTTCTTCAGTAATAATAACAATAATCTTAATTAAAGAGAAAAGAAATCAAATATAAACCTAAAAAAACACGATTATGATTATAAAGAAGTAAGTTATTGTTTGATGATAAAAAAAAGATATATGTAATCTTTATCTGATAGCCTAAGCATTTAGTGAATATATCTCAATTCAAAAGATAATAAATAATTTTTACATTTTTATTTGTATTTTGTTTGGTTTTAGATATGAACGTTTAACATTTTAATTAATTACCTTACAAAAATCTAAAATATTATTGTAAAAATTAATTTTAAATTTTAGAGATTTTTTATTCAATAATTTAGCTAAATTAAAAATTTTGATGTAAAAAAATAATTTATTTTTGAAATTATAATAAATTAAATTATTAATTATAATTCTATTTTAAAATACAAAAATCAGATTTTTTAATAAATAACTAAAAAATCTATTTCATAATAAGTGACATATAAACGATAGAATTTTTGAATGGCATTTTGCTATAAACTAATTTACAATAATAGATTTAATTTAAAAATAATATTTAATAGATAAAATTAAAAAATTAGTATTTTTAAAATTAAAATAATTTATAGCTTAAAAATGTAAGTGATATAAAATAAATATATCAAATAAATAATGAGTTAATTTATGGTTTCAAATCAGTAAAAAGATCGAACCATCAAATATTAATGATGATTTAGAGAGAATTTAATATTTGGATATTGATTGATTGATTTTTTAATGGTTACAATGTAAATTTTTCTTTCTAAAATTCTCTGTATCTTCCTTAGATATTATTTAAAAGAAAAAATTATATATGTAAGAAAAGTGATATATATTGCAGTTAAATTCTAAATTAAAGTAAATTATATTCATATTAATTTATGTTATAAATAGTGATTAACTTGCTACTTTAAATCAAAAATAGAAACAAATAAAAAGGAAATTAATTGTAATAATTGATAATTATTAAGAAAGAATTCTTTGAAAACTTTAAAAAACCAATTAATTAAATTAGTAAATAACACTAATCAATTTCCATCAAGCTAATCAAAGTTTTGAGCAAAAATGTTAATATTTTGTAAGGATAATCTTTCATTTTTATTCATTAAATTAATGATAAATGTAAATATTTATAGGCATTTTGCTTGCTTTAAAAATCGTCTAAGCATAGGATTGCTCATTCCTTCTCTAAAAAACTTAACCAACTACTACACCTCTGGGTAAATTTTAAATTCTAAAATTATAAACGCAATTAACTATTAAAACTTAAATGAAATTTAGGCTACTCCTGCAAAATTAATACATCTGTAAATTTCAGTGATGCTTAAATTTAAGATACAACCAAGTATAAATTAAGGGCAGCTAATTTTTATGGCAATGTCACGGGCGCAATAGTTAGTATTAGATAACCTACGTGTGATAATTTAATTTAAACAAATGATCAAAATTATCAAAGCATAAATTTTGAGATTAATGGAGATAGCACGTTATAGTATATAAATAATATATACATAAGCTTTAATTTATATAGCCCCATTAAACCTGTATTATTAAATTTTACTTCAAGTTGGAATTCATAAGCGTAATAAACTCTATCTTTAAATGTTTCAGATTACCCCCGTGATTAACCACCTACTTGCCATTATTTTCGTGTATAAAATGTATTCGCAAATATAGATTTGACTAGCTTAACAAATAAATTTAGTTCAAGTTCCATTCTTATTACTAGATTTTTAGATTAAACTAATATGGCTTTAATTTGGGTTTCAAATTTATAGGTTCTGATTTACTACAAAGTAAATTTTATTGATTTTTTTATTTTAGAAGTTATTTTTTACTCATAGTCATTTTTTTAACATAAATGTTATATATTTTTTTTATAAAATTAATTTATTTTCGCTGTACTTTTAAACAATTTAGTTTATTTTTTAGCCATTTTAATAGCCACTAATTATTTAATTAGATAATTTGAATATATTATTATGTCTTTTGTTTTTAGATGTAATCATTTCTTTTAAAATATTTAAAAGTGTCCGATTGGATGCATGGGTGATTGTCCTTCGGGGAATTGCCAATCTTGTTAAAGCGGCTACGATCTTATCAGTGGTTCGTGTGTATTAAAGTGCGGTTAAAGATAATACTCGAAAGTAGTAGATGCCTCTTCATAATAAACTTGCTAACCCTGTCTTACTAATTGCAATTTATGTTCTAATGGGAGTACTTGTACAAATTGTGATAGTGGTTATACTTATGCTGTCGTTAATGGTTCAAATTAGTGCTATCCATCTTGTACCTAACCTAACCAGTATATTGATCCATAAGGTAATTGCCAAAACTGTATGTAATATTGCAGCAATTGCAGCACAGCAACTTATTGTACAGCTTGTTTTACAGGATTCATTTTGAATGCTAACAATTCTTCTTGTTAATGTAACGGTTATATTAACAATAATCAATGCCTTCCTTGTACTTCTCCTTGCTAAACTTGTACTGATAGCTCAATTTCAAGCTGCCAATCCTGTATAAATAATTACTACCTTGTTAAAGATTATCCAAATTAGTCTTAATCTTAATGTCTTTAAATATGCCCTAATAACTATTAACTAATCAATAATACTTGCAAATTATGTATTTAGACTATTTACAACAGTTGTTTTAATTGCCCTAGTACTTGTAGATCTTGCTCTCCATCTTAGACTAACAAGTGTTAAGATTGTTATCCTGGAATGCAGCTTAATAGTAATAATTTATGCGAACCTTCGCCATAACCCGGACTATAAGTAGATAGTAGAAATCTCAACTTTTATTATTGTAGCTAAAATAATATAGCAGTTGTTTAGGCTACTTTTTCAAGCTCAAGTCCAACATTAACTCTGGAATTCGGAATTAATTTAGTTCCTATACCTGGGCTATAATGTAATTAAATATTTGACGCTGTTACGCTAAATTTGCTAGGCTCTAGTACATGCTCTATCAATTTATCATAAATCATTGTCACATTAAGTATATTTTATTAAAAGTTGAATTCAATATTAATATAATATATTCTTAAAAATAGGTTAAGATGCTAATTTAATGGTTAACTAAGTCATAACTATAACTACCACTGCTTAGATACTTTAATTCTAAGGAGTTAGTTCAAAAATTGATACAATTTATTTGATTTCTTATGTTTAGCAACCAGTTACTCCTTAAGTGAATGTTCTATACAATTAAGTTGTAAATTCTTGTAATGACATCTAATTCTAAATTTAAACACCATAAAATGATGCAGGAAGAGGTTTCTTAAATATAAAATGGATATTATCTAACCCGTAAAATTTCAGTTAAACAGTTATGCTGACCTTATTAGATATTATAACTACAGCTAATGATAATCAAAATTTTACTTTGTTTATCCCAAAATAAACTATTCCCGCAAATACTGACATATCTATTAAGATCTCCTACACTCTCAAAGTCTCTTAAAGCAACACCTTGTCTTTTACAACCACATATTAATAAAAGAAGCAAATTTTTATAAGCCAAATTTAAAATAATTATCCTCCAATATATAGGTAAAAAAAATATTTACAAAAATAAAATTATTTTTTTCTTGTTATTATCTATGCAAATTAAATAATAAATTAATTATTATATTACATTCTATCCCTCCCAATATCCATAACTTAAATTAATATCTTTATAAATTAAATATTAAAAAATATTTTTTTAGAAAAATAAAAAAATAATAAGTAAAACATAATTTTATCTTTTGTTAAATTATTATTTTTATTTTATTTATTTAATTCAATAGGTATATAGACTTGTAAATCACATATTTTTTTACTATCTAATCATGTGATTTGAATGGGATTCAATATTTTTAAGATTAGATTGAAATCTAAATTACTTCATCAGCTCTACCTTCTCTTAACAAAAGTTTAACTAAATTCAATGAACCATAAATATTATTAGAAGTACAACCTTATGCTATACCTGCTAGTATAAATTTAGATATTTAGGTAAAATTTATTTTTATTATGCTATTAACTATTAATTATTTAATATTTTTTAGGTTTCTGTGTAAATTAGTAGCGATGCATCTATTAGTAATACAAATACTTTATCTGTACCTTACACGGTAACATAACTTTAGACTCTGATCTAAAATGGATCTGATATGCTTGTTAATTATAAAAACAATCTTACTCTAATTGGATTGGCACGAGATTATGAAATTTAAGATCCTAACACTTCACAAGGAATACAACTAAGTTGGCATTGCAGATCTTTGTAAGTATAAAATGGGGATAATTAATGTTACACATATAAAAAGGAAGTTTATGTACCATAAAATACTTAGAATATTACAATCGATGGTGGTACTTTCAACCCTTATTAAATCCTCAGCTTCACTATTTAAGGATCTAAAGATTCTAGAACTTCCTAGTATAGCTCTTTAATTATTTTCGCAGAGACGGATCTTCCTCCTCTCTTGGTTGTATTTGATGACCCTAGGTAATTATAATAGATTAACATAAACGAAGATATTCATGCAACTCTTATTTATGGCTCAAATGTACCTTCGGACATTCTAACTTATGCTGGAGCAATTCTCTACAATAATTTAGTTGTAGGAGTAATTAAATTTGATTATTATAAACTTAAATTTAGAATTTGGGATTATTTTTCTGATATAAAAGCAGATAATATAATTGTTCAAATCAGATTTACTGTATATAACCCTGCCAATATAATGCCTAGTTTAAGTGTAACAAACTTTAATATAAACTTAGCTCCTTCAAATTGTGTTCTTTCTGTTACTCCTTCAAGTGGTCAGGCTTTAACTACCTAATTCACTATTCAATTTAATGGTTGCGTAGCCCTTAATAATCCTATAACTTACTAATTATTCTATTATAACCAGACCTCTGATGCTTTAAAAGAAATTTAAATCCCTTAAAATATCCTAAGAAGATAATTACAGGATTAGAGTTTACAGTCCAAAATTATTACCAATCTCCCTTCAGGAAATATAGTAATTATGGGTCAAGCTATGGATTCTTACTTAGCTGTCTTTAATACTACTATTTAAGTGAATGTTTCTCCATTCTAGGGAGATGAGTAGACATTATTGAGTTTAATAGGTTCGGCACTTTCATAGTAAAATATAAAAGTAAATTAAATGCTCATTAATTTATGCATTATTGGTGAAGAAATAACTAAGAACACTGCTCTTTACAATCTAGATTCTATTAACTTCAGAAAGTAAATGTTAGTATAGTCGATTATAAGCTATTCAAATAGGCTTTAGAGTAATTCTTTTTTGTCTACTTATGGAAATAAAGTTGTAGCAGCTCTTCAAGCTTCCATAAATAATAATTATCAAACTTAAAGTTATAAAGTCCTTGACTATGTTAATACAACTTTACAAAATTCACAGCAAAAAATTGCAAATTAAAACAATAATAATAAATTATTTAACAATAACGATATTGTTCTATAGAATTTGATTGATTGCTTTAAAATGTTGAACTCAACTACCCAAGAGGCATCATAAGACTCTTTTAAATCCCTTTCTTCTAATCAAACCATGTTGCAACAACAAATGGATTTATCAGACTAAATAGGAAATCTATTAAACAAAATTACCCTTCCCAATTAAGGAGACCTTTAATTACAAGGAAATTTAATCTCTATAAGCACAGAGTAAATAACATCTAAGAATCTTTAAAAATACATGTTTATATAAAACTAGCCATCATAAAATGATTCAAACATTTATAATGTTGTCTTGACTAACTATTCTAATAACCCTTTTATTAATACTGAAGGCTTTTAGTCATATATAAATTAACTTTAAAACACGACTCCTGGTATATAAGTTTCTATAAATTCTGTGGTAAAACCATTTATCTAAAATACAAATAATGCCACAGTTAGTTAAGAGTTTAATAATTCTCTTAGTCTCTAATTTTCGAATATTAAACCATCAAAATATAATTTAACTTGCTTGTAGCAATAATCTTAATCTAACTGGACTCAATCAGATTGTAAATTGATTTAATCTACCCTAATTGGATCATATACCTGTGTTTGTAAAAATCAAAATCCCACAACAATTATAGAAAATTTAAAAGATCTTCTTGATAATAAAAATTTAAAAACTGCATTTGGTTCATAGGGAATATAAAATATTTCTAATTTTACAACATTCTATGAGTATGCTATATTTTGGATTCTTAGTTCAGTTACACTAATCCAAATAGGACTCTGCATTTATGGTCATTTGCTAGATTTTAAGAATTAAATTACATTTGTAGGATCTATGTCAAAAATCAATCCAATATCTTTAGCAAATTTTGAAAATTTTGATTAAAAAGTTACAGATAAGTAAAATCAACTGCAACTAAATTTATAAAAATAAGAATCAGATAAATTATAATAAAAGGAATCGACTGTTTTTATAAATTACTTGCAATCAAAATAAGAATCTTAAAGAGCTACGCAATCAAATATAAACCTAAAAAGACCTGAATATGATTATCAAGGAAGTAAATTATTTATTTAATAATAAGAAAATGATATAAACAACCAAAAAGTTTAGAACTTATTGTCTTTACCTGATAACCAAAGCATTTAAAGCCTATATCTGACTTCAAAAGATAATAAATAGGAATAAAAATTGGATTAACCCAACATCATTACTGAAAATAAAAAAACAAATAATATTGAAGACAAAGGCAAACAAAATAAAGAAGAATAAAAGGATATAGTTGAAATATTAAAAGGATCAAAAAATACTCAAAAATTAATGGAGACCTCTTTGTTGAAAAAGATATTAATTTTTCACAATTTTAGCAGTATTTTCTTTGTTTACAGTAATTAAGAATCTAGACCACTAAGATTTAGCATTTTCTACTTAAGAGTAATTCACTCATTAAGCATATCAACAATATTTGATTAACAGTACAATTAAGAGTAGATTATTATAGTTTCACTTATAAACTCTTCTATTGTGATAGCAAGTGTTACGTTAATTAGATTTTTGTATACATCTAGAAAAATATTTAAAATAGTTGCTTTTTTGATAACGATAGGTTTGCTTGCACTATATTATTATATCATTATATCAATTGTGAGCGGTCAATCAAATGATTTCTCAAATAAAAGGATATCTTCCTTTTTTATAATGTTTGGAGTAGATTTCTTGATCTTATCAACATTAGTCTCTATAATTAACATAATTGCATTTATTAAAATAGTTAAAAATGTAATTAAAAACAAATTTATATTAAAATTATTAAGTTTATTATAAATATAAGATATTTTAGAAAATTTAGTTTTGTGACTTTATAAATAAAAGTTTTATTTTTTTTGTCTTTTTGTTAGTTTAAATATGAACTTTTAATCTGTTAATTTCTGTAATACATAGATCATAAAAATTTTATGAATTTTGAATAAAGTAAATTACTTGCAAAAATGCATAAATTTAGGCAAGTGATTTCGAGTTAACTTGGTTTTTAAAAATTGTATAGGTTTTTATGATTTTCCAAATTATTAAGATGTAAAAAATAATTTATTTTTGAAATTATAATAAATTAAATTATTAATTTTAATTCTATAATAAAATATAAAAATCAGATTTTTTAATAAATTACTAAAAAATCTATTTCATAATAAGTGACATATAAAAATAATATTTAATGGATAAAATTACAAAATTATTAGTATGATGATTTAGAGAGATTTAATACCTGGATTTTGATTGCTTCTTTTTCTAATGGTCACAATTTAATTTTTCTTTCTAAAATTCTTTGTATCTTCCTTAGAAGTAATTTAAAAGAAACAAATTATATATGTAAGAAAAGTGATATATATATTGCAGTCAAATTGTAAATAAAAGTAAATTATATTCATATTAATTTATGTTATAAATAGTGATTAACTTGCTACTTTAAGTCAAAAATAGAAACAAATAAAAAGTAAATTAATTGTAATTGATAGTTATTAAGAAAGAATTCTTTGAAAACCTTAAAAAAACAATTAATTAAATTAGTAAATAACACTAATCAATTTCCATCAAGCTTATCAAAGTTTTGAGCAAAAATGTTAATATTTTGTAAGGATAATCTTTCTTTTTTATTCATTAAATTAATGATAAATGTAAATATTTATAGGCATTTTGCTTGCTTTAAAAATAGTCTAAGCATAGGATTGCTCATTCCTTCTCTAAAAAACTTAACCAACTACTGCACCTCTGGGTAAATTTTAAATTCTAAAATTATAAACGTAACCAACTATTAAAACTTAAATGAAATTTAGGCTACTCATGCAAAATTAATACTTCTACTACTTTTGATGCTGCTAAAATTTAAGATACAACCACATATAAATTAAGGGCAGCTAGTTTTAATGGCGATTTCGCGAACGCACGTGTTAATATTAGATAACCTAGTTGTGATAATTTAATTTAAACAAATGATTCAAATTATCAAAACATAAATTTTGAGATTAATGGAGATAGCATGTTATAGTATATAAATAATATATACATAAGCTTTAATTTATATACCCCCATTAAACCTGTAGGATTAAATTTTACTTCTAGTTGGAATTCATAAGCTTAATAAACTCTATCTTTAAATGTTTCAGATTACCCCCGTGATTAACCAACTGGTTGCCATAATTTTCGTGTATAAAATGTATTCGCAAATATAGATTTGACTAGCTTAACAAATAAATATAGTTCAAGTTCCATTCTTATTACTAGATTCGAATAAGATAATTCAGTGGCTTTTATTTGGCTTTCAAATCTATAGGTTCTGATTTACTACAAAGTAAATTTTATTGATTTTTTCATTTTAGAAGTTATTTTTTCCTCATAATCATTTTTTTAACATAAATGCTAGCAAAGTTCGAGCTTATTATTTTATTCAGAACTTTATCTGTTAGTTTTTATATATTTTTTTAATAAAATTAATTTATTTTCGCTGTACTTTTAAACAACTTAGTTTATTTTTTAGCCATTTTAATAGCCACTAATTAATTAATTAGATAATTTGAATATATTATTATGTCTTTTATTTTTAGATGCAATCATTTTCTTTTAAAATATTTAAAAGTGTCCGATTGGATGCATGGGTGATTGTCCTTCGGGGAATTGCCAATCTTGTTAAAGCGGCTACGATCTTATCAGAGGTTCGTGTGTATTAAAGTGTGGTTAAAGATAATACTCGAAAGTAGTAGATGCCTCTTCATAATAAACTTGCTAACCCTGTCTTACTCATTGTAATGTATGTACTAATGGGAATACTTGTACAAATTGTGATAGTGGTTATACTTACGCTTTCGTTAATGGTTCATTTTAGTGTTATCCGTCATGTATCTAACCTAGCCAGTATATTGATCCATAAGGTAATTGCCAAAACTGTATGTAATATTGCAGCAATTGCGACACAGCAACTTTTTGTACAGCTTGTTTTACAGGATTCACTTTAAATGTTAACCATGCTTCTTGTTAATGTAACGGTTATATTAACAATAATCAATGCCTTCCTTGTACTTCTCCTTGCTAAACTTGTACTGATAGCTCAATTTCAAACTGCCAATCCTGTATTAATAATTACTACCCTGTTATAAATTAACCAAATTAATCATAATTTTAATGTCTTTAAATATGCCCTAATAACTATTAACTAATCAATAATACTTGCAAATTATGTATTTAGACTATTTACAACAGTTGTTTTAATTGCCCTAGTACTTGTAGATCTTGCTCTCCATCTTAGATTAACAAGTGTTAAGATTGTTATCCTGGAATGCAGCTTAATAGTAATAATTTATGCGAACCTTCGCCATAACCCGGACTATAAGTAGATAGTAGAAATCTCAACTTTTATTATTGTAGCTAAAATAATATAGCAGTTGTTTAGGCTACTTTTTCAAGCTCAAGTCCAACATTAACTCTGGAATTAGGAATTAATTTAGTTCCTATACCTGGGCTATAATGTAATTAAATATTTGACGCTGTTACGCTAAATTTGCTAGGCTCTAGTACATGCTCTATCAGTTTATCTTAAATCATTGTGACATTAAGTATATTTTATTAAAAATTGAATTCAATATTAATATAATATATTCTTAAAAATAGGTTAAGATGCTAATTTAATGGTTAACTAAGTCATAACTATAACTACCACTGCTTAGATACTTTAATTCTAAGGAGTTAGTTCAAAAATTGATACAATTTATTTGATTTCTTATGTTTAGCAACCAGTTACTCCTTAAGTGAATGTTCTATACAATTAAGTTGTAAATTCTTGTAATGACATCTAATTCTAAATTTAAACACCATAAAATGATGCAGGAAGAGGTTTCTTAAATATAAAATGGATATTATCTAACCCGTAAAATTTCAGTTAAATAGTTATGCTGACCTTATTAGATATTATAACTAAAGCTAACGATAATCAAAGTTTTACTTTGTTTATCCCAAAATAAACTATTCCCGCAAATACTGACATATCTATTAAGATCTCCTACATTCTCAAAGTCTCTTAAAGCAACACCTTGTCTTTTACAACCACATATTAATAAAAGAAGCAAATTTTTATAAGCCAAATTTAAAATAATTATCCTCCAATATATAGGTAAAAAAAATATTTACAAAAATAAAATTATTTTTTTCTTGTTATTATTTAAAATAAAATTTCATTAATTTAATTAATTAAATATTATTTTATTTTTAAAAAATATTTTTTTTTTAGCAAATCAATAGTAATAATTTTTTAAAAATTAAATAATATATTAATTATTTTTTTTATATGACATTCTACCCACCTAATATCCATAACTTAAATTAATATCTTTATAAATAAATATAAAAAAATATTTTTTTAGAAAAATAAAAAAATAATAAGTAAAACATAATTTTATCTTTTGTTAAATTATTATTTTTATTTTATTTATATTATTTAACTCAATAGGTATATGGACTTGTAAATCACATATTTTTTTACTATCTAATCATGTGATTTGAATGGGATTCAATTTTTTTAAGATTAGATTGAAATCTAAATTACTTCTTCAGCTCTAGCTTCTCTTAACAAAAGTTTAACTAAATTCAATGATCAATAGATATTATTAGAAGTACAACCTTATGCTATACCTCCTAGTACAAATTTAGATATTTAGGTAAAATATTTTTATTATACTATTAACTATTAATTATTTAATATTTTTTAGGTTTCTGTGTAAATTAGTAGCGATGCATCTATTAGTAATACAAATACTTTATCTGTACCTTACACGGTAACATAACTTTAGATTCTGATCTAAAATGGATCTGATATGCTTGTTAATTATAAAAACAATCTTACTCTAATTGGATTGGCACGAGATTATGAAATTCAAGATCCTAACACTTCACAAGGAATACAACTAAGTTGGCATTGCAGATCTTTGTAAGTATAAAATGGGGATAACTAATGTTACACATATAAAAAGGAAGTTTATGTACCATAAAATACTTAGAATATTACAATCGATGGTGGTACTTTCAACCCTTATTAAATCCTCAGCTTCACTATTTAAGGATCTAAAGATTCTAGAACTTCCTAGTATAGCTCTTTAATTATTTTTGCAGAGACAGATCTTCCTCCTCTCTTGGTTGTATTTGATGACCCTAGGTAATTATAACAGATTAACATAAACGAAGATATTCATGCAACTCTTATTTATGGCTCAAATGTACCTTCGGACATTCTAACTTATGCTGGAGCAATTCTCTACAATAATTTAGTTGTAGGAGTAATTAAATTTGATTATTATAAACTTAAATTTAGAATTTGGGATTATTTTTCTGATATAAAAGCAGATAATATAATTGTTCAAATCAGATTTACTGTATATAATCCTGCCAATATAATGCCTAGTTTAAGTGTAACAAACTTTAATATAAACTTACCTCCTTCAAATTGTGTTCTTTCTGTTACTCCTTCAAGTGGTCAGGCTTTAACTACCTAATTCACTATTCAATTTAACGGTTGCGTAGCCCTTAATAATCCTATAACTTATTAATTATTCTATTATAACCAGACCTCTGATGTACAAAAAGAAATATAAATCCCTTAAAATATCCTAAGAAGATAATTACAGGATTAGAGTTTACAGTCCAAAATTATTACCAATCTCCCTTCAGGAAATATAGTAATTATGGGTCAAGCTATGGATTCTTACTTAGCTGTCTTTAATACTACTATATAAGTGAATGTTTCTCCATTCTAGGGAGATGAGTAGACATTATTGAGTTTAATAGGTTCTGCGCTTTCATAGTAAAATATAAAAGTAAATTAAATGCTCATTAATTTATGCATTATTGGTGAAGAATTAACTAAGAACACTACTCTTTACAATCTAGATTCTATTAACTTCAGAAAGTAAATGTTAGTATAGTCAATTATAAGCTATTCAAATAGGCTTTCGAGTAATTCTTTTTTGTCTACTTATGGAAATAAAGTTATAGCAGCTCTTCAAGCTTCCATAAATAATAATTATCAAACCTAAAGTTATAAAGTCCTTGACTATGTTAGTACAACTTTGCAAAACTCACAGCAAAAAATTGCAAATTAAAACAATAATAATAAATTATTTAATAATAACGATATTGTTCTATAGAATTTGATTGATTGCTTTAAAATATTGAACTCAACTACCCAAGAGGCATCATAAACGCTTTAGTAGCAAAGTAACAATAATGGTAAAAGACTTTTAAAAAATTAAGAAGATTATTCAAATATTTTAGACTCTTTTAGATCCCTTTCTTCTAATCAAACCATGTTGCAACAACAAATGAATTTATCAGATTAAATAGGAAATCTATTAAACAAAATTACCCTTCCCAATTAAGGAGACCTTTAATTACAAGGAAATTTAATCTCTATAAACACAGAGTAAATAACATCTAAGAATCTTTAAAAATACATGTTTATATAAAACTAGCCATCATAAAATGATTCAAACATTTATAATGTTGTCTTGACTAACTATTCTTATAACCCTTTTATTAATACTGAAGGCTTTTAGTCATATATAAATTAACTTTAAAACACGACTCCTGGTATATAAATTTCTATAAATTCTGTGGTAAAACCATTTATCTAAAATATAAATAATGCCACTAGTTAAGAGTTTAATAATTCTCTTAGTCTTTAATTTTCGAATATTAAACCATCAAAATATAATTTAACTTGCTTGTAGCAAAATTCTTAATCAAAATGGACTCAATCAGATTGTAAATTGATTTAATCTACCCTAAGTGGATCATATACCTGTGTTTGTAAAAATCAAAATCCAACAACTATTGCAGAAGATTTATAAGACCTTCTTGATAATAAAAATTTAAAAACTGCATTTGGCTCATAGGGAATATAAAATATTTCTAATTTTACAACATTCTATGAGTATGCTGTATTTTGGATTCTTAGTTCAGTAACACTAATCCAAATAGGACTTTGCATTTATGGTCATTTGCTAGATTCTAAGAATAAAATTACATTTGTAGGATCTATGTCAAAAATCAATCCAATATCTTTAGCAAATTTTGAAAATTTTGATTAAAAAATTACAAATGAGTAAAATCAACTACAACTAAATTAATAAAAATAAGAATCGGATAAATTATAATAAAAGGAATCGACTGTTTTTATAAATTACTTGCAATTAAGATAATAATCTTAAAGAGGAACGTAATCAAATATAAACCTAAAAATACCTGAAAATGATTATCAAGGAAGTAAATTATTTATTTAATAATAATAAAATGATATAAACAACCAAAAAGTTTAGAACTTGTAGTCTTTATCTGAAAACCAAAGCATTTAAAGCATATATCTGAGTTCAAAAGATAATAAATAGGAATTAAAATTCGGTTAACCGAACATCATTACTGAATAAGCTAAGGATATAAAAGCAAAGAATATTGAAGACAAAAGCAAATAAAGTAAAGAATAATAAAAGGATATAGTTGAAATATTAAAAGGATCAAAAAATACTAAAAAATTAATGCAGACCTCTTTATTGAAAAAGATATTAATTTTTCACAATTTTAGCAGTATTTTCTTTGTTTACAGTAGTTAAGAATCTAGAGCACTAAGATTTAGCATTTTCTACTTAAGAGTAATTCACTCATTAAGCATATCAACGATATTTGATTAACAGTACAATGAAGAGTAGATTATTATAGTTTCACTTATAAACTCTGTTATTCTGATAGCAAGTGTTACGTTAATTAGATTTTTGTATAAATCTAGAAAAATATTTAAAATGGTAGCTTTTTTGGTAATGATGGGTTTGCTTGTACTATATTATTATATCATTTTATCAATTGTGAGCGGTCAATCAAATGATTTCTCAAATAAAAGGATATCTTCCTTTTTTATAATATTTGGAGTAGATTTCTTGATCTTATCAACATTAATCTCTATAATTAACATATATGCATTTATTAAAATAGTTAAAAATGCAATTAAAAACAAATACATATTAAAATTATTAAGTTTATTATAAATATAAGATATTTTAGAAAATTTAGCTTTGTGATTCTCTAAATAAAAGTTTAATTATTCTTTGTCTTTATGTTAGTTTAGATATGAACTTTTAATATGTTAATTTCTGTAATACATAGATCATAAAAATTTTATGAATTTTTAATAAGGTAAATTACTTTCCAAAATGCATATTAGGCAAGTGATTTCGAGTTATCTTGGTTTTTAAAAATTATCTAGGATTTTATGATTTTCCAAAATATTAATTTTCTATCGAATCAATTTAAAAAGAAAATATTTAAAGTTAGAATTTTAACCTAAAAAAAGAGTAAAATGAATATGATGATTTTTAATTTATGATAATGTAAAAGCAATAATTCTAGGATTATGATATGTAAAATCAAACTAAGTCTTAAGAAGATAAAATTTTTAATATCCAAAATAAAAAAAATTTAATTTTTGTTAATTTAATGAATGAAGTCCAAAAAAATATTTTTTATATTTTTGAAAATGTTTAAAAAAAAAACTTTAAGCAAAATAAAAATTGTTTTAGTTTTTAATAATTGATGAGTTTTTGGTATTTATAAAAATTTTATAAATTCTGATTTATACTTAGAGAGTCAATATGAAATGAATAATTTGAAATTTAATCCTATTCATTTCTTCTTTCCCTACAAAATTTAAATTAAATATGCTTAAATTTAACGAAAAAATTGAAATTAATTATGTAAATAAAAAACTATAAAGGATATTAGCTATTTTAAAAATATATTTGATAGCAAAAAATAAATAAAAACACTTAAAATTTATTCATTAACTGAAACAAAAATGTGATTTATTCCTGTTAAATAGTAATTTTTGGCTGTGTTTTTTAGAGAAATCACTTTGGGAAGTAAATATATTTTTTATTGTATTTTAAGTAATATATAGTTATTAATGTAATCTTTTTTGATAAAGAAAATTTTATCTCAAAACTTAAGAAAATAATAATTTGAAATTTAATGTTATTCATTTCTCCTATCACTAAAAAAAAAAAAATATGCTCAAATTTAATGAACGAATTGAAATAGATTATATAAATAAATAAAAAACTATAAAGAATATTAGCTATTCTAAAAATATATTTGATAGCAAAAAATAAATAAATAAAAATATTTAAAATTTATTAATTAACTTAAATAAAATAGTGATTTCATCTTCTAAATGTAATAATTTTTGGCTGTGTTTTTTAGAGAGAAATCAGTTTGGGAAATAAATATTTTTTTTGATTATATTGTTTGTTGGTAATACCCAGTTATTGAAGTAAAGTTTTTTGATGAAGAAAATTTAATCTATCAGAAAACCTGTTTATTCATCAAAAAAGAAAAATATAATTGTTAATTAAAGTTAGCAATAAAATTTAAACTAGGGAATGTATATTTTATTTCATATTTTATTTTCAAAAGAATAAATAAATAATTGGATAAATAAATAAACAATTGATTTGCCGATGGGTATTCACTTGTATAACAAAAATAATAATAAATAGAAGCAAACAAAAAATAAAAAATAACGCAAACATTTCAATTCAATTCATTTGATAGATAGAGTAATTAATTGAAATTACGTCAAATTTCAAGTTAATTTTGATGTTTAAAAAGAAAGCAAACAAGACTAATAGTTAAAACAATAAATAATAATAATAAGAAACAAACAAATTATTAAAAGATCAAATTATCAATAAATAAGTAGAAGTACTCAAGTCCTCCCTCAAACAATAACAAACATTATTGAAATAGCCCCAATCAAAGATGATTTACTCAAAACTTGATTTATTTTCATCTTAATTTTAATTTAATATCAATAACCAGTAAATGAAGAAGGGTACCCTTTTTGGTTTCATTCTTTCCATTTTTGTTATTTTAACAACGCTCTGCTATTTTATCTACATCATACAGCAATATGCAACAAACTAAATAGAACCTAACTTTAGATCTTAAAGTTTCATCAATGATGGTGAAATCGACATACCTTTGAATAGTGACCTAGTTGCTTTTAAGTTCGATTATGGTGACAACACTGACCTTTACAAGGCTAATTCAAAAAACAAAACATACTTGGTTTATTATGCTTTCTTTTACTACTAAAAATTAGACAAGTATGACAATATAAGACTACCTGTTTTTGAATGCACCAACCCTAAACTCTTAGGGTTTTACTGCCTAGATCTATCTGTAATTACTAACACAACGCTTGTTCTGAATACCTAAGAAAACATTCTTTCCTAAATATAGCTCTATACCTATGGATGTTTAGATGTTGATGATTTAAAAAAGACGGTTCCTAATAATTGTGCAACCTAATAAGAGATAGACCATATGGTCAATGGTATTAATGCTGCTTTCAAGCTTAAGCTGCTAACATCTTAGTATAACACATAAACATAATAAAACGAAAACAATTACAGGAACGTTTTGATCTATACAGTTGCTAACTAGTAAATAGTTACATAAATTAAAGCTCAAAAGTAAGTTACCTCTGTGAAATAAGGGTTAATTGTCTAGACTCAATCTTAATACTCTTCTCCTATCTCTTACACTCAATCAGATTAACCTATTGATAGAACATATGCTGCGAACTATATTGGAATCGCTAGTTACAACTGTCTAGTCATGTATATGGATGAAATTGTCCAACAAATTTAAATTTAATATCCATCTCTACCTTAAGTATTCTCATTCATTAATAGTATATTTACTTTTTTGATGCTTTTAGGTATTTTAGGAAGAGCTGTGTCTCAATTTTCAATTAAGAAGGATTTTTTTATGCTATTCTTAAAAAATCAATACCAAGACACTTATTTGCAGATTATGAAGGAAAATTAACTTTAAAATACAGAAAAATAGAAAGGTGAGGATAAATATGCAGAGAAGAATGAGTAGATAAATACTTATTATCTATAATAGCAAAAGTAAACCTAAACATTAGGAACATAAGCAATGGATGGAAAAGGAGAAGAAGATGAAGAAGCTAAGAGATTAGATAATAATAAACCAGCAAGAAAAATTACTGTACCTGCTTTTAGTAGTAAACAAAAGTAATCTTTAGATTTAGAGGCTGTTTCCCCATTCAATAGTAATAAAATTGACAAAAATAACGAATAACCCGAAGGCTTGGAAGCTATTGCAGCATAATTAAACGAATTATCAAATAAAATACAGCATGATTGCTCAAATAATGAAAATTAAAATGACAAAAATAATTTTAGTAATGTTTTATGTAAACAAAATTCGTAGATTAGTAAGTTTTATTAAGTCTAAGACTCAGTGATTTAGGAATGCCAGCAAGGTCAGGGAGAATTGCTAAACAGTTAATTTACAGAAGAAAACTATCAGTTTTCTCCATACAAATCGAGCTTATTGTAATCCCAATTTAAAAAATAGAGTTCCTTAGTCAGCCCCTCAAATTATCAATCAAAACTATAAGAACAAATCAAAAAAAGTGTCAGCGTAAACACATAAATAGTCAAAAGTATTGAGGAAAAGATGAAAAATATGAAAAACATCCAAAATAAAAATTTATCTGATAAACTAGTTGATTTTATTTTTAAAATGAGGTACTTACTTAATTCATTCATTCAATTCAATTCACTTCACTTCAATTAATTCATTTTTATTAATTAAAAAATTATATCTAAATTAAAGAGTTTTCAAAAAGAAGAAAGAGCTGGTTGGAGGACTCAAATAAAGCTAGCTCCAACAAATCGAGTCTTAAATAAATAAAGAATTGGATATCTTGAACTTCGTCAAAGATATTATGTTTTTGAAAAAAGCAATCATGCTAGTCTTTGACCCTGATCAGCTAGCAGCGCTATAACTTATAGGCTGTTCGCAGCATTTTTTAGACTAGTAATTGGTTGATTTCGAATCAGATCCTAACTAGTTTGGTAAAATCATAAATGCATATTTTGATAAATTTATAATAAATTAATTCTTTAATTATTTAGAAAATGACATTACACTGAGTTTCTATGAAAAGCAATTCGTAGTTTCGCAATCAGAGAAGTTATAACAACATTACATGAAGAGATTCTTAGATAAATGTACGAATAAAAGTAATTTTAACGAATTGGATGAAAGAATTTTAGCTTCACTTAAAAACTGAAAAACCAAAAGATCATTCTTTTGCCTCAAAAGGTTCTGATTCAAGGCTCTAAAAAAACTTGATCTTATTGGATAAGATAACTTAAAAAACAAAAATTAAAAGAAATTATTCTAGATTTTTTTAGTTTTTTTATTTGAATTATTAAGTGTTTGCAATTATTATATATTTTTAGTAAATTTGAATTATTATCACTTTATTTATTTTTGTTTCAATAAATATAAACTTCTTTTTTATTATTTAATTTTATGTCATATGAAAGCAAATTCTAACTTTTTCATTTAAATTTATTTACAATTATAAACTTTTTTGATTCTATTTTTTTGTTTGTTTGTTTGATAGATTGATAATTTGATATTTTAAAAAGTTATATTCGATAACTTTTTAAATATTGATGACGTAGTGATTTTGTACTTAATTAATAATAAATGAATAAATAAATTACTTATACATCATTTTTCAAAAAAAGTGTGTTAATTTTGTTAACTATTATTTTTAAATTTAAAGTAATAATTAAGTCATTCATTTATTTTTTATTAACATATTGAAATAAGATAGTAAAGTGAGCACAATGCTAGTGAGGATTTTCCTAAAATTAATAGAGTAATGTTTTTTATTTTTATTAGTGTCTTCCTCTTAATTTGATTCAAATTATCATAGAGAAGAAAGCGGAACTAAGAATACTTATTCATTAAGAAAAAATAAAATTATACAGATTATGTTATTAGGTGAAAGGGTGAATGAGAAAAATTAAGTGGTTTATCAATTGATGGATGAATGTATTGAATTAAATTTTTTGATGAACTAAAAAAAAATATTTTTTTAACAAGAAAGAATATTAGCTATTTTAAAAATATATTAGATAACAACAAATAAATAGAAAACCAAAATATTAAAATAGCATGTAAACAGATTCATCCAATTCATTTGATAGATAGAGTAATTAACAAATATTGAAATTAAAAAAAAGAAAGGAAGCATGTTAAATAATTAAAAAAATAATAAAGAAGCAAATTATTAAGATTAAATAATCAATAGTCAATAGATAAGTAGAAGTATTCCTCAAATAATAACAAACATTATTGAAATAATCCCAACCAAAGATGATTTACTCAAAATTTGATTTATTTTCATCTTAATTTTAGTTTAACATAAACAACCAGCAAATGAAGAAGGGTACCCTTTTCGGTTTCGTTCTTTCCATTTTTGTTATTTTAACAACACTCTGCTATTTTATTTACATCATACAGCAATATGCTACAAACTAAATAGAACCTAATTTTAGGTCATAAAGTTTCATCAATGATGGCGAAATCGACATACCTTTGAATAGTGATTTAGTTGCTTTCAAGTTCGATTACGGCGACAACACTGACCTTTACAAGGCTAATTCAAAAAACAAAACATACTTGGTTTATTATGCTTTCTTTTACTACTAAAAATTAAACAAATATGACAATATCATGCTACCTGTTTTTGAATGTACCAATTCTAAACTTTTAGGATTTTACTGCCTAGACCTATCTGTGATTACTAATACAACACTTATTCTGAATACCTAAGAAAATATTCTATCATAGATCTAGCTGTATACCTATGGATGTTTAGATGTTGATAATTTAAAAAAGACGGTTCCTGATAATTGTGCAACCTAAAAAGAGATAGACCATATGGTCAATGGTATTAATGCTGCTTTCAAACTTAAACTATTAACATCTTAGTATAACACCTAAACATAAGAAAATGAGCACAATTATAGGAACGTTTTGATATATACAGTTGCTAACTAGTAAATAGTTACCTAAATTAAAGCTCAAAAATAAATTACCTCTGTGAAATAAGGGTTAATTGTCTAGACTTAAACTCAATACTCTTCTCCTATTTCTTACACTCAATCGGATTAACCTATTGATAGAACCTATGCTGCAAACTATATTGGAATCGCTAGTTATAACTGTCTAGTCATGTACATGGATGAAATTGTCCAACAAATTTAAATTTAATATCCATCTCTACCCTAAGTATTCGCATTCATTAATAGTATATTTACTTTTTTGATGCTTTTGGGTATTTTAGGAAGAGCTGTGTCTCAGTTTTCAATCAAGAAGGATTTTTTTATACTTTTCTTAAAAAACTAATACCAAGACACTTATTTGCAATTTATGAAGGAAAAATAAATTTAAAATGCAGAAAAAGAGAAAGGTAAGGAAAAATATGTAGAAAAGAATTAGTAGACATTTGCTTAAAATTGTTATGCATAATAGCAAAAGTAAAACTAAATATTAGGAATATAAGGAGTTGAAGAAGGAGGAGGAGAAGAAATAAAGAGATTTGAAGAGAAAGAATCAGACAGAAAAATTTATGTACCTAATTTTAGAAGTAAATACAAGCACTGTTTGGATTCAGAGACAGCATCCTAATTCAATAGTAATATTATTGACAAAGATAACCAATAACCCAAAGGTTTTGGAGTTGCAGTAGTATAATCAGATGAATTATCAAATAAAATGCAGCATGATTGTTCAAATCATGAAAATTAGAATGATAAATATGGTTTAAATAATGTTACATAACAACTAAATACATAGATTAGTAAATTCTATTAAGCCTAAGACTCAGTAATTTAGTAATATTAGCAAGGCCATGGAGAATTGCTAAACAGTTAATTTACAGAAGAAAACTATCAGTGTTATCCTTATAAATCGAGCTTATTGTAATCCTAGTTTAAAAAATAGAGTACCTTAGTCAGCCCCTCAAATTATTAATCAAAACTATAACAACAAATAAAAAAAAGTGTTAGTCTAAACACCTAAATAGTGAAAAATATTGAGGAAAAGATGAAAAATATGGAAAACATCCAAAATAAAAAGTTTTCTGATAAACTAAACGAGTTTATTTTTAAAATGAGGTAGGTACTTACTTACTTACTTTATTCATTAATTTGACTTCAATTAATTTATTTTTTATATATTTAAATTTTTTTTCTAAATTAAAGAGTTTTCAAAAAGAAAAAAGAGCTAGTTGGAGGATTAAAAAAAAGTTAGCTCAAACAAATCGAGTCTTAAATAAATAAGTAATTGGATATATTGAACTTCGTCAAAGAAGTCTTGTTTTTGAAAAAAGCAATTATGCTTGTCTTTGATCCTGACCAACTAGCAGCGCTGTAACTTATAGGCTGTTCTCAGCATTTTTTAGATTAGTAATTGGATGATTTAGAATCAGATCCTAATTAATTTGGTAAAAACATAAAAATTTTGATACATTTATTTTTTATTAATAATACATTTATAAATTAATTATTAAGAAAATGACATTAAACTGAATTTCTATGAAAAACAATTCGCCGTTTCGTAATCAGAGAAATTATAACAACATTACATGAAGAGATTTTTAGACAAATGTAAGAATAAAAGCAATTTTAACGAATTAGATGAAAGAATTTTAGCTTCTCTCAAAAACTGAAAAATAAAATGATAATTTTTTTGCCTTAAAAGGTTCTGATTCAAAGCTCTAAAAAAACTTGATCTTATTGGATAACTTAGAAAAATATAAATTAAAAAGAAATTATTCTAGATTTTTTTACTTTTTTTATTTGATAATTATTATATGTTAATAAGGAAGTAAGTATAGTAAATTTTAATTTTTATCACTTTATTTCTTTTTATTTTCATATACTTCTTTTTCGTTATTAAGTTTATGTCATATCAAAGCAAATTCTAACTATTTCATTTATTTACAGCTATCAATTTTTTAGATTCTATTTTTTTTAATAGATTGATTGATGATTTTATATAATAAAAAATTATCGAATATAACTATTTAAATAGTGATGACTAATTGCTTTTTTACTTAATTAATAATAAATGAATACATAAATTTCTTACTAAGCTCTTTATTTCCAAAAAGAGTTGAATTTTGAATTAAATTTTTGAAAATTTTGAAAATTAAAATTATTTATCTAAATAATTAAATTTTCAATGAGTGACCAATATAGAATGAGTTCTTTCTATTAATCTAATTTATAGCTTATTTATGAATTAAATCCATGCAACTGAACGTTCATAAGAATTAATTTAATTCATGGAAATGCTATTATTTTGTGAAGAAACCAACCTAATTAATGCTCATTTTGAACTTATCTTTAAATTAAAGACTAATTTAACTTCTCAATAATTTTATTTGAAATTAACTTTTAAGATAATTAACAAATCATAAAGACCTTATTTATCCAAACAAAAAAATGAAAAGTCAAAAATCAACAAGTTTTAATAATTTAAAAATTGTAATTCCATATTTTCAAATTGTTTGTTTATTTATTTAATTTTAACATATCAAAAGTTTTTAAACTCTAAGCTATCTCACCACAAAGACCTTCAAATTGACTTAAGGTAAAAATAACAAAATTTCTTTTTACAATCAACAAATATAAATAAAATCTTGATTTAAAATAAGTTATTTTTTTTAAATGATTATTTAAGTATCTTCATACATTTATTTTTAATAATTTTAATTTAAATATTAAAAAATGTTAAAAATATAAAAAGGGAAATTTAAATTGATAACTAAGGATTATCAGACTTAGGATTTGCTTTATAGAAATGTGTTCATCTTTCAACTTTCAAATTGGATCTAAGGTAAAAATATTCTTAAAATTTTATTCACAACCTAAGTAATTTATTTATTTATTTCGACAAAATAAATAAGAATACAAGCTAAATTTGCATATTAAAGTTAATTTGATTGTTATTTAATTAAAAACGTACTTACTTTTTAGGTTATTTATTTATTTTATTTAACCTTTAAGTGGATTAATTTATAACTTAATTTTTTTTCTACAATTTTTTCTTTAAATAAAATATTGCTAAAAACACATAAAGACATTAAAAAATGGATTCATAAGGTCTATCCAACTTAAGTTTTGGTTTAGCGAAATGCGCTAATCTGTAAACTTTCACTGTTGATCTAAGGTAACAATAATAAATAAATAATTTAAAGAGATTTATAAATTTAATTTATAAAGTTAAAATATAATAGGTGGATTTGGTGCATCAGACTTAGGCTCTGCTTTAGCAAAGTGTCTTAATCTGTCAAATTTAACACTCAAATTTAAGTAAGTAAATAGACAAATAAATCTTATTTTTTAATATTTTTTCATTTAAAATTTTTTATTAAATTATTTTTTCAACTTAAATTTATATATTAAATTTCAAATAAAGATATTTTTCCTAATTTTTTCATTAAAAATTATTATATTATTTAAAATTTTTATAAAGTTGCAACTCGATTGGTTCTTAGGGTACTTAAGCTTTTTGTTCCTAATTAGCAAAATTTAATAATCTCTCAAATTTGACTCTTAACCTTAAGTAAAAAAAAAACATTAATTTATTTATTTTGCCTTTATATTTTTAGAAACAGTTTTTATTTTCATAAAAAGTAAAAATAAGTTTAATATTTACTTAATTTTAACTTTTAAGTATACTTCTCTCTTTATTTATTTATTTATTTATCCTCATATTTGAAAAAGCTTTTTTTAATATTAAATTTCTTCCTTTTAAAATAAAAATATATTTCTAAAAAATATACAAAGCGAGAATTCAATTAGTGATAAGGGTGTATCTGAGTTAGGTTTTTCTTTAACAAAATGTGCTAAACTCTAAATTTTGACTTTATTCCTAGAGTAATTTATTTAATATTATTTATTTAAAAGAAAAATTATTAATTTTTTTATTTCATAAATTATTAGGTAAAATTTAATTGGTGATAAAGGTATGTCAAATTTAGGTTCTGCTTTCGAAAAGTTAACTAATCTCTCAACTTTAAATTTTTACATTTGGTAAAAATAAATAAATAAATATTTAATTTGTTTTATTACACAATAAATAAAAAAAAAACATAAATATTTATTTTAATTAGATTTCTTATTTTTCATCTTAATTTTTTTTTTTTTTAATAATTAATTTATTTTAGAATGATTTATTTATTTTTAAATTTTATTCATTACTAAATTTTCATTTTATTTTTGGTTTCTAACAAATAAAGAATCTAATTTTTTTTTAAAATATCAAGTGATAATAAAATTAGTTCATTGGGTGCATCAGCTTTATTCTTTGGACTGAGCAAATGTTCTAATCTCTCGATTTTGATATTAGATTTTGGGTAAAAATAATATTCTAATTAAGAATTATTTGATACTTGATAATTCATAAATTACATTTTTTATTTTAAATTAACAAAATTTAACTTAAAATTTATATTTCATTTATTAGCTTTTTTCTAAAAAAATAAAAATTATTACTTTAAAAAAAAGAAATTAAATTGGAGAAATCGGTGCTTCAAATTTAGGCGCTTCTTTAACAAACCATGTTAAACTATAAAATTTAATAATAAACCTCAAGTAAAAATATCTTATTTATTTTATTGATTTTTGGTGTTATTTAGTTAAACTTGCTAAACTGAAGATAGAAATCATAAATTAAAAAAAATTTTAGTATTAAATAAATTTAATTAGAAAAAACTGAAAATTATTACCTTAAATACTTATTTATTTTATCACTTTTTTCTCACATATATGAAAATTTATTCACTATTAACAGTTAAAATAAAAAAATTTTGAAACTTTTGAATAAGGTTTTAATTAAGAATAACATATAGTATTAAAAACTAAAATATAAAAAGAGTTAAATAAATAAAATTAAATTCAATAGTTACAAATTATTAATAAATTAATAAATAGGAATAAATAATTTATATTTAATTAATTAATATGATTTTAAAATTACTAAAATCAAATAAGTCAAATTTTTTTATGTTAACAAACAATGTAAAAGTCAAAATAAAATTAATGACAAGAGTGTATTAGACTTGGCTTCTGGTATAGCCAACTGTGTTAATATCTCAAAATTAACTCTACATCTTAAGTAAGTAACTAATCATTATTTAAATTAGGTTTTGAAAAATATATTATAAGAAAAAAGCCACATATTAATAATAAACTAATTAATTTTATTCTGTCTGTAATTTAATATTAATATGTTGAATTAAATTTTATTTATTTAGTTATTTTTTATCATTAAATTGAAAAGATATTTTTATTTTTTAAAATAACTAACAAATTTTAATTAAAATTTTAAAAGTAATAATTTAATTGGTACTTAGGGAGCATCAGATCTAGGTGTCAATTTAGGAAAGTGTGTGCATCTCTCAAGTTTAACACTTAATATAAAGTAAAAACAGTTTTTTTTTTTTAGTTGATATGATATGTTATTTATTTAAATAATTTATAATAATAATTAAAAATTCAATAAATTTAATTTGATTTCTCTCATTTTTTCCATTTAAGCTTATTTGATTGATTGATAGATTGATTTACTTCTAATTTTTCCTATTTAAAATAATATTTAAAACAAAAAAATATTTTTGATATTTAAATTTTAAATTAAATTTTTCATAATTTATAAATAATAAAAACACTTTCTTTAAAAACTGAATAGAAAAAATTCTATTGGTAATAAGGGAGTATTATATTTAGGTACAGAGCTAGCAAAGTGTACTAGGCTATCATTTTTGACTGTTAATCTATAGTAAAAATAATTTATTTACTTTTATTGTGTTATTTGAATGATAATCTAAAAAAGAAGAAAATAGGAAAAATTTTATTTTTATTTCTTTCAAAATTAAACAAACTTATTTATTATTTTTAAATTTTTAATAAATTTATTTATTTATTTGTAAATTTCAAATTAAATTGTAGAAAATTCAGATTATTTATTGTTTATCCATCCTTATTATTTTTACTAAAAAATAAATATTCATAAAAATAAAAATGTAGACACAATTCACTTGATAAAAATGGTGTTTTAGACTTTTGTAATGCTTTAGTAAAGTGTGATTTTCTCTCAATTTTGAAATTACTGGTTTTGTAAAATATTTTATTTGGATTAAACAAACATTTTCTTTTATTTTTTCTACAATAAAAATTAACAAAAAGAAAATAATTCTTTAATTTATTTTTTCATTTTTTTCTTTTATATGATTGCTAGCTAGTGATTGATTCTTTCTTTAATTTTATTTGGTGATTTACTTACTTATTTAAGAATACTTTTAAAATAATAAACTAATATATATATCTATAAATTTAAAAGGTATAAAGAATCTTTCGGATTAAAGCTTAAAGGTAAAGTTAAAAAAATGAAGAGATTAGTAGAAATCATAATTGTTAAAGAATATTGAATCATAAATTATTTTTTTATTTGATTTTCTTAGACAAAATTTAGAAATAAATTGAAGATTTCATGATAAAATTAAAAAGTGATTATATATTTATTTATATTTGTTTTAATTGATTTGTCATAATTTTTTTAAAAAAATTTTAAAATTATTTTTCAATTAATTCATTCGTACTTTTCATTTTATCTTTAATTATTTCTTAAATCTTTTGTTTAAAATTAAAATGTTTGAATATAACATAAATGTTACAAATTAAATAAATATTTATTTCTGTCGTCTGTCTGACACACTGGCAAAATACCCTTCCTAATTTATTGATAAAAGTTGCAAATTTTTGAGGTGGAATTTAGAAGAATTTGTGTTAAGTAAATATAGTTAGTTATTTAGTGGCTATAGACAATGAAATCCACAAATTTAATTAATTATTATAATTAACTAATTAACTTTTCTCCTCAAATTTGCTTCAAAAAGACCAATATATTAATTTGATAATATTAAATATATTTAGAGTATGTATGAATGCAGTGTTAATTATTTTCAGATTTTCTTGTTTGCGTAATTAAGTTTTTTTTACTTCTTTTATAACATAGACAGATAAATTTACATTTTTAATTGATTAAAATACTCTCTTTATCTAAAAAATACACTTTTATAACAATAAGATACCAACCTGAATAAAATTGACAGACATAACTAAAAATAATGTATTGGTCTGAATTTTCAATTAATTTAACAATAGCAAAATCTTAAACTCAACACTTATCATACATAAGCTATTTTTACTCATCAATATGCTATTTAAATATTTTTACTGATCAATATGCTATTTAAATCAATACAAAACGTTATTTTGTATTTATCAATAATAAATTGAGTCTATTCTAAAGGATGGGAGGAAGGAAGTAATTAATTAATTATTAACCTTCTTCAAATTAAAACAGAAAGATTCTTTCAGCAGAAGAAAAATAGCTTGATTTTATTTACAAAACCAAATTAATTTTTTGTGGAAAATTTAGTTAATTAATTAAGTAAATTAAAGGAATTCCTCTAGAAGCGTTAAACATAATATTTATATTCAAAGAAATTTCTTCCTTACTTAGATATTTAATCGAAACAATTAATTTTGAGTACTGATTAGAAAATCTTTAGCTGATTATTTTCAATTATTTAAACGAAGTAATTTAGTCTTTCAATTTATATTATCTATCAAAAATAGAATATTTTCGAATATATTTTTAAAAATTTAGGTTAATATTTTTAATTTATTTAATGATAAATAAATAAATATTTTCATATATTTTATTTTTGTGTGTTCCATAATAACAAATTCACTATTTTTGGTTTTCCTTTTTAAAAAGTGAAAGAAAAAAAAGTAAAAAATTAAAACGAAATTATTCTCTATCTAAAAATAAATATTTTATTTTCATCTCTCTGATTGTATTTTTGAAATAATAAATTTGAAATATCTTACTAAATTTTGTTTAACACATAAAGAAGACATTTACTGATTAATTAATATTGATAAAATTCAACTTCTTTAATACTTTACTAAGATTTAATTACACCAAGGATAAACAAATAGAAGAAAATGGTAATAAATAAATACCAAAATATATAAATAAATAAATTTACTGGTACTTTGATTGACATTCCTGTTTTTAAAAATTGATGAAAAGTGTAAACGCAAAAATAGCACTCACTAACTGGCTGATTTTGATTTAATTAATTTACCTCAAATTTAATTACCAAGTTTTTTCATCTAATCTTTAAACAAAAGAAATTTTAAACAAAAATCTAAGTTTTAGTAAAATACACATGAATCTATCTGACTGACTAATTGATTATTTGATAATTTTATTTATTATATCGCTAATCAATTAAAAGAAGATAGTTTCAATTAAAAGCAAACACAAGAAATTTGATTAACAAAAAAAGAGACAAACTTTGCTTTGTTGTATCTTAAAGAGGAGATTAGATTAATTAGAACAAACACTTCTAATAAACAATAATTAAGATTTTGTAAAATAGCTTGCAAAAAATGATGCTAATTTGTAAGAATTTCCCAAATTAGACTTGATTATAATGATTATTTTTATAAAAATATAGATTTTTTCACTCTTTTATGGGTTACTTTGGCTTAAGATTGCTCATTACTGCTCTCTTTGCCTAAACCAGCCAACACTTAAGGTAAAATTTCACCATTTTTTCTACTCAATTAGTAAAACAATCAAAATGTAAATACAAAAAAATTAGGATATGAATGCTTAATCAGCACATCAACAACATTCGATGATACATATTTATAAAACAATTGGAGATTTTAATCAGCAACTATTAATCATCAAATTAGCTCTGCATAGACATTAGTAAGATAACCTTGCGCTAATCTTATTTAACCCACAAAGTAAGTTAAGAATTCTATTGGTATAGCTATTGATAAAACAGTATCAGCATAATATTTGACTGCAATATATATAAGCTATGACGTTTATTTCCAATAGATTCCAGCATATTTTTATTTTGAGGCAAGTTGGTTCGGAAGTTACTACTATAATGTAAATTATACCAGCTCAAATTTTACATTGTCTAACATTTAATAAGATAGTTGCTCTCCAAGTTATTATTACAAAAGCTTCTTTGAAAATATAACTTACATTCCTAAATTTCCAAAGTCTGTTTCAACTTCCTTTTTGCTTGCACTCTACAGTAGCTATAATACCTACATGATGAACTCAATATCAAATGTAAAAATACTGGCTTACTACCAAGTAAATTATTTAAATTTAAATAAGAAAATAAATACTTACTTGCGAAAATCAATTAATTCTACTTAATATATTAATTAATAAATAATTAACAAAATATAAATTTCAATCATAATAACACTTTTAATACATTAAAACTTGATATAAACTCATCACATATTTTTTAGTAAGGTGATTTACTAAATTTTTAGTGTAAAGAAAACAGATAACCTGTAATTTGACACTACAAAAATTTTATCTTATTTACATCCAAATTTATTTTTAAAAAAACCACATGCAAGTAGATCAAATATATTTCATTTACATGCACTCACTAAGCACCAAAATTTATATATTTAATAGTTTAAAAATTATTTAATTTTTAAAAATATTTTTTAAGTATTTAAAAATATATTTTTTATTTTATGCTTAGCACTTATAATAAAAAGTAAGTATCTAACTTTAATATCAAATTATGAAATTTATTTATTTAATTTAATAAAAGAATAATTTTTCTTAAACAAAAAAAATAATTGCAAAAACATTTTTATTAATTAATTATTTATTTATTTTTTATTTTAAAATCTATTTTTAATATTAAAACAGTGTCCTGTTGGCTGTGCTAATACTTGCACTACAACTGGTTAGTGCAGTGTTTGTTCTAGTGGTTACAATCCTGTAGGAAATAAGTGTGTCATATAGTGTTAGCCTAGCTAATATAGGGTATATGACTCAGTGTCTACTAAACAAACTTGCTTGCCTTGTATGGCTAATTGTAATTCCTGTTCTGATAATATTACTTGCAGCAGCTGCGCTACTGGATATACTTATGCGTTCGTTAAAGGTTAAAATTAGTGCTATCCCTCATGCAAATAACCTGCTTAGTATATAGATCCTAATGGAGTATGCTAAAACTGCATTTAAAATTGCAGTTAATGCTCATAAGCTAATACATGCGATGTTTGCTAATAAAATTACATGAAAACTATGCAAAATACTTGTTTATGTTAAGGTTATGTAAGTAATAATTAATGCTTATCTTGTTATGATTATTGCTAAACTTGTACTGATGGATAAAATACAAGTTGCTTATCTTGTATCAGTAATTATTACCCAGTTATGAATTCTTAGAATCAACTATAATTCGAATGTCTTTAAATATGTCCAAATAATTATTAGTTAATAAATAATACATGCTAATTATGCAATTAAATTATTTACAATAGTTGTTTTAATTGTCCTAATACTTGCAGATCTTGCTCATTTTCTTCCTTATAGAATAATTAATGCTTAGATTGTAACGATGGGATGTAAATGGACCCTTCTACTAAATTATGCTAATGTAAACTTGATCCAAGAAATCTGGATTTCTACTACTGTAGTTTTAATAAAATTGCTGTAGTATAAGCTACATTTTCAAGCACTACTCCAACTTTAACTCTAGAATTTGGAATTAATTTAGTTTCTTAAGCAGACTTAAAATGTAGTTAGATATTTGCAGCTTCAACGCTTAGTCTTTTAGGTTCCAGTTCATGTTCAATTAGCTCATCTTAAGTGATTGTCTATTTAAGTAATTTGTTAATAAAATATCATTTTTAATAACTTGAAAATATAAAAAAGGCTAGGATGCATAAATTATGGTTAATGACACTATCAGCTTAACTACAAGTTCTTAAGTACTTTTATTTTAAAAAGCTCCTTTGCCAATAGATACAATATATCTTATTTCTGTTGTTTAAGAGTCTATTCCTCATTAAGTTAATGTTAAATATAGCTAAATTATCAACTCATGTAATGATATCACTTTCTAAATTTAAAAATTGTAAAACGATGCAGGAAGAGGTTTTTTATTTTTAGAATGGAAATTAGCTTAGCCACAATCATTTGATTAACAAACTCTATAAAATTTAAATTCCATCCTATAAAATGCTAATGCGTAAAAAAATTATACACTAGTAATACCTAAATATGTTGTTCCAGCAAACACAAATATCACAATTTAATTGTATTACATGCTTAAAGTATATTCAACTGATACTTTGTCATTTACAACCTTCAACTAAAAAGGCAAATAAATTGCTGTAAATTCCATTTAAAATTAATATCCACCGCTCTACAGGTAAAAAATTAATTCAATTATTCAATTATTTATTTATTTATTTATTCTATCTGCATAAATTAAGCCATGAATTTCAAAAGTAAAATAATAAATTAATTATTTTTTTGTTTGTTTGTTTTAAATATCCTTTTGAAAGTGATTTAATATGGCCTAAAATATATTAGAAACAAATTTTAATTTTTAAAATACCCTCCCCTCATAATTCTATTTTTAAACTTTGTTAATTAAGTAAAATTTAAGTTTAATAAATGAGGGTATGTATGTATGTTAATAGTTAATTTACTTTAAATTTTAAAATAAAATTGGATTATATTAAAATAATATTTTCTTATTTATAAAAAGATACTTGGATTTAATAATACAATTTCAATTTAATTCATTTGAGTGCGATCAAACGGGATTGCAACTCAGTTAAGATATTTATGATATAGAAATTACTTCCCAATCTCTTCCATCTTTAAATAATAACTGGATGAAATTCAATTAGCAAGTTTTGAAATTTGAAATTTAACCATACTCAGTTCCTTTCAACTCAAGTCTAGATATTCAGGTAATTTATTACTTAAATAATGTAACAATTTTAAGATGATTTTTTAGTTATTTATATACCTAGATAGCAATAAAAATGTTAACACCACATACCAATTATCTATTCCTTACAAGATATCTAACCTTTAGACAATGATTTTGAATGGAGCAAAAATGTTGGCTGATTATAAAAGTGATATTACTATTAGCGGAAGTGTTAGAGATTTAGAAGTTCAAGATCCTAAATCACCTTAAGGCATAAATTTAAGTTGGTATTGCTACTCTATAGGATCAGATATGGGAGACAATTAATGCTATACTTATTTGAAATCAGTTTATGATGTTCCTTAAAATGTTTTAAGCTTTAATATATCTAGTGGCACATTTAATCCTTATCAAGTTCTCTAATTTACATTATCTGGTTCTAAAGATAAAAGAATTACCAATGCTACTCTTTTAATTATCTTAGCTGAAATAAATCTACCTCCTCTACTCGTTTAATTCGATGATCCCTCGTAAATTGATCAAGTTAATATTAATGAGGATATTTCTGCAACTCTTGTATATGGTTCTAATGTACCATCGGATATTTTAACATATGCTGGTGCTATTCTCTACAACAACTAAGTCGTTGGTGTAATTAAGTTTGACTTCTACAAAGTTAAATTCCGTATTTGGGATTATTTCTCAAATATAAATATAGCAAATCCTGTTGTTCAAGTAAGATTTACTGTTTACAATCCTGCTAATATTATGCCAAGTCTCAGTGTGACAAACTTCAACATTAATATACCGCCATAAAACTGTGTACTTTCTATTTCTCCTTAAAGTGGATTCACATTGACAACAAAATTTGTTATTTAATTTACTGGATGCTCAAGTCCAAATAACCCTTTGACTTACTAGTTCTTTTACTATAATCAAAATTCCGATTTAAAATAAGAAATATAAATCCCTTAAAATATTTTAAGAAGACAATTTTAAGATCAAAATACAATAAATTAAGTAACAACATATCTTCCATCAGGAAACATAGTCATTTTAGGTTAAGCAATGGACTCTTATTTAGCTGTGTACAACACTACTTTATAAGTGAGTGTTTCTCCTTTCTAGGGAAGTGAATAAAATTTATTGGATTTATTAGATGAATCTCTTTCTGAATAAAATACTGACTTACAAACCAGTTAAATTATAAAGAATTTATGTGTTATTGGTGAAGAATTAGCTAAAAATAATACTCTTTATTATCTTGATTCAATTAGTTAAAGAAAATTGCTCTTGATATCAGCGATTATCAAGATGACTAATTTGTTGCCTAGCTCTTCCTTTTTATCAACTTTCTCTAATAAAATTATAGCAAATCTTTAATTGTCATTAAGCTCTTAATATTAATAATAAAATTAAAATATTTTAAATCAAGTTAATTTAGTTTTGCAGAAGCAAAAGCAATTAATTGCAACAAATAACTTGAACAATAAGCTTTAAAATAACAATGATATAATTCTTTAAAATTTGGTTGATTCCTTTAAAATTTTAAACTCAACTACATTAACTATATCTCAGACTCTCTAGTAAATCAGTAATAACAATGGCAATAGACTTTTAAGCATGTAAGATGAAATCACATATAAAAATACAATTGAATCTTTGAGAGCTCTTGCTTCTTCTTTTCCTCAAGATATCTTACAATAATAAATGAACATTTCAGATTAAATAGGAAATCTGCTAAATAACATCACACTTCCGAATTAAGGGCCATTATAATTAGAAGGAAACTTGATTTCAATAAACACAGAGCAAATAACTGCAAAGAACCTTCAGAATTACTATTATATGCAAAATAAGCCTTTGAAAAACGATTCAAGTATTTACAATGTTGTTATTACTAACTATTCTTCAAATCCTTTCATTAAAACTCCAGGATTTCAATCATATATAGCTCAAATAGAAAATTCAACTCCTGGCATACAAATTTCTTTGAACTCAGTTGTGAAACCACTAGTTTAAAGTATAGACAATACTCCAAGCCCTAATTTAAACAATTCACTTGAGCTGTAATTTTCTAATATTAAATAATCAAAGTACAATTTAACTTGCTTGTAATAATAATCTGATTAAAGTTGGCTTTAATCATAGTGTTATTTGATAAATTCTACTGAAATTGGATCATATACATGTATTTGTAAAGATCAACGTCCTACAACAGTAACAGAGGATTTAAGAGAACTTTTAATAAATAAGAATTTACAAACTGCTTTTGGCTCTTAAGGAATTAAAAATATTTCTAACTTCACAACGTTCTATGAATATGCTGTATTTTGGGTACTTAGCTCAGTAACGTTGATTTAGATTGGATTATGCATATTTGGTTATTTATTAGATTAAAAAAATTAATTTTCGTCTATAATCAGTGGGTCTATGTCAACAGTAAGCCCAATTTCTTTAGCAAATATAATAAAAACTGAACAAAATATTACTGATGAATAACAGTAACTAAAAATGAATTAATTAAAATAGCAATCATTATAATTTTAGCAAACAAATTCAATTCAGGATTAATTTCAACCAAAATCACAGTCACAAAGAGGGATACAATCAAATATAAATTTAAAAAGACCTGAATAAAATTTTTAAGGTGAAAGCAAACTAATTATTTAGTAAAACTAAGAAATATATTTTGAAAGGAATAATGATAAATAGTAGAACTTTTAAGGAGAGAATGATAACCAAAGCATCTAAAGTATTTATCTTAATTAATAAGACTAAAAAGAAGTTCAGAAAATAGATTAGTCTGATGAAATTCTTTAAAAAAATAAAGACAAGTAAATAAATACATCAAACACCAATCAAAGTCAATAAACAAAAGAAGAAAATAATAGCATTTCTTAAATAATTCAGGGATCAAAGAATACACAAAAGCTTCTTCAAGCCTCAATATGGAAAAAAATCCTCATTTTTCACTCATTTAGCAGCATCTTTTACGTACATGATAAAGAACAGTCCCGACCTTTAAGGTTTACAATATTCTACTTAAGAGTAATTCATTCGCTTTGCATCTCAACTATATACGATTAGCAATATAATGAAGAACAAATATTAATAATATCTGCTATCAACTCTTCAATTATAATAGTTAGTGTTGCAATAATATCATTTATATACTCCTGTAGAAAAGTAGGTCGAGCTATTTCATCTTTCATAATGTTAGGTCTCCTTGGTCTTTATTATTATACTATATTATCTATTATTAGCGGCCAATCAGAGAGTTACTCAAATTTAAAAATTACTTCCTTTTTAATTATGTTTGGAGTTGACCTAATTTTCTTCTAAACTTTAGTTTCGTTATTTTACATATTTATCTTTAAAAAGATAGTCTAAAATGCAATTTAAAATCTACTCTTACTAAAATTGATAAGTTTGCTGAGAATTCATGAAATTTTAGAAAACATCAATTTATGAATAAATATTTTCTGAAAAATGAAAAAACAAACACTTTGAAAATGGAAACATTCTATTTTTTATTTAAATTTTTATTACTAAAAATGATTTTAAATTATTGATTTAATTGTAGAGATAAGTCCTTTATGAATGAAAACTGATAAAAGCTAGAGAGAGATAAATCATTCGTTAACGAAAACTAATAAAAAAAAACTCATTAAACTTAATGAAACACCAAATAATAATTAAAAATTAAAGGTTAAAACATGAATGTTAACTTTAATTTATAAATTGAATTTTAATAAAAATATAGCACTTTGCAATATTAAAAAAATAATATTAAGACATAATCATAATTAAGTTAAAGATTAAGTAAAAAAACAAATTTTATTTTATTATAAATATTAGATAAAAAATAGTAATTGTATAATTGCTTAATTAATTATTTTCTTTATATTTATTTTTATAAGGTTTACTCAAATAATTTAAATACATAAAATTATCCTAAAATACCATAAATTATCCAATCGAATTCATGATTTTTTTTAAATTAATAGAATCTATCAATATTTTTTAAGTATAACCCCTTTATTAATTTATTTTGATGCATTGGAGCATATATTAAATAAAAAATATAGTATTTATTATATTTAACATCTAAAATATTTCATAATATACTGTATGCAGTTAGTAAAATAATTAAAAAATTTATTTTAAAGCTGGCAGCTTATGTTATAAAAATAATCATTTATTATATTAATATAATCAATTATTAATGAAACAAATGTTTGGTTGTTTTTAGCTCAATAGAACGCTTTTTAATTGTTAGTTAATTAATGAAGAAAATGCACTATTTGAATGATATTTATATGCGTCTAGATCAAAAATAATTAACACATATTATTATGCATTTTTAAATGATAAATAAAGAAGAAATATGTATGTATGTATGTATGTATGTAATTAATTTAATAAATATATGCAATTTAAATGAATTTTTGATGATCAAAATCAACAATAAATTAATTACTAATGAAAATCAATTAAATTCATTTAGCTCTTAATAGATATTTTTAAATTAACAAAATTTGTTAGCCATTCTAAAATTTTTAATAGAATAGGATGAGCATGTAAGTATTAAAAAAGGAATTTTGATAAGAATCGTGAGTATTAATTAATTAATTAAACAAATAATTCATTCTTTCATTCTATTTCTTCATTGCATTTTATTCTAATATCCCTTGTAATTTAGCATTAAAAAACAATCAAAATCACAAGCAAATTAATCAAAAAACTTTTTAATTTAATTAACTTTTCAATACTAGAAGCTATTAAATTTATAGGGAATACAAAGTAATAAATATTTAAGATGATGGAAGGAAATATGATAAACTTGATGTAGCCAAGTGTGAATGGAGAGATGTTGGTATAGTTAGAAAAAGGAATTATTTGCAAGACTCATTACAAATAGGTCGGGAGAATGTGCTTAGCATTTGAGTGCAAAAACAGAAGCAGATTAATTTGTGATGATTGCATAGCAGACAAAAATCTGCATCGTAACCATCAAGAATAAATAGTTTGTTTAAACTAAATGAAGGATTAGCCAAAGCAAGTCATGGAAGAGCTAAAGTATAGAGGAGTTGAGAAAAAAGAGCTTAAAAAATTAGTAGAAAAGGAATTTGATCAGATCATGGATGAGATTTGGAATATTATTTAGGAAGGAATGAGGGAAATTTTAATAAGAGGAAGAGAAGCTATAAAAAAGCTAAATGAACATATAGAGGCAGCAAATAATGACGATATGGATGAAATATTTAACGGAATAAGCATAGATAACGACTTGCTAGACAAATCTAACAAGAATGAAATAGAAAAGGTTCTAGAAAGTCTTTTAGAATACAAACAAATTCAAAATGAAGAAATCTTTGACATGTAAGTGAATTAATATTTGCAAGAAATGTACAGAAAGTAGAAGCTTTCTAGAGAAATAATCATTCCTGACATGTAAAAGGATATCAGGCCACGTTTGTAAGCAATGGCTTAAGAGATGTTACTGAATTGTGATAAATTTTTGCAAAACAACATAATCGAAAACAATAATGAAATCATTCGTAACGAAGGGATTTCTATCCAGGCGCCTTATAAAAACGAAACAATCAGAGAGTTTGATGACCTTCAATTACTTATAGCGAATAATGACCAAACTATTAACAGTTTAATTATACAAAGAAAATTCTCTTTATATGAAAATATCGAAGATGCTTTTCATCTCATCCCTCCTAATATTACAAAAATTGTGTATGTGCTTGACGCAGACTCAAGGAAATTCTTCTAAAAAATAAAATATATTCCTTCTTCTGTCAAGACAATTGAGATCTCAGGTACAAGATCGAACTTTGACTCGTTTAAATTACCTAAAAGCATCTAGAATTTAAAGTTAACGCTGAATTAAATGACTGAAATAAATAAAGTTATAGACGGATTCATTCGTTACACTCCTTAAAAGTTGCAAACTCTTGAATTCTGTTTTACAGGTTGCCAAATATCAAAAAAACAAGTAAACCATCTAATTCAATCGTTCAAATACCTGCCTAACACTCTAAAAACATATATAATACACTTACAAGATAACTTCCTGACGCCATATAGTATAAATAAGCTTATACTGTACACTCGTTATCTGCCTAAATCTGTTCACAAAGTCACAATAGATGTTTCTAGTCAGTTTGGAAATAACAGCTTAAACAATGATTAGTAATATATTTAATTTAATTTTTACTCTTTTTGAAATTAACTATTTTTGATGAAATATGTAAATCCATTTAAATAATTTTAAAAATGCGCAAAAATAAAATTCGTTAAAAATGTATTTTTAATTAAATAAATCTAAAACAAATATTTTTTTTATTTATTTATTAATTTAATTAATAATAATTTTATTTTATTATCAAAACTAAATTAATGAACAATTTTATTATAAAAGATATGTATAATATGGTGCTCTAAATCTTTTAGATACCTTCCCTAAGCAAGACATAATTAAAAAACTGAATCAGGAGAAAGTTGATAAAGCTGACTTGTATTACGGAATAGAGCAATCTTAATTAGAATACTCGTTTGTGAGGGAATTGCTTATAGACTTGAGTAATAACTTGTTTGATGAGCAGTACTACTTTTTCTGTGAAATTATATTTAATGTTTTTACTAACTTGACAAAGTTTTCTTTGATGCTGAATTAATGTAACATAGATAATTCAAAGTGCGAAGTAATAGCTAAGTTGCTTCTTAAAATGCCACTTTCAGTTAAAACAGTAGAACTTTTCATAAATAAGAACATATTTGATCAATACGGATTATAAACAATTCTAGAAGCTATTGAAATAAAAAAAGATTAGCTTTCCAACTTTACTCTTAGCTTCTAAAACGAAAAAATATAATAAGAACACATAAATATAATTAAAAACTTTATAATATAAAAACAAATTCACTTAGAAATTATTTATTGATCATTCATATTATTATGTAATTTAAACAAACTACTTTTTCAAAAATTTATAAATCATTTAAAAACTCCTTAAAATTTATTATTAATATACTAAAATTTTTTAATAAAATTTAAATAATCTTTTAAAGTGTTTTAAATACTCTTGTAAAATAATATTTTAAATGTTATTGTTTTATGAAATGAAAAATAAATTACTGATTAACTCTGAAAACATATTTTTAATAATAATTCTAATAAATATTTTATTTGATTTGGACATATTATATAAATGATGCTAAAATATATAAATAAATATATTAAACCATATTTGAGGTAAGCACATTTAATTTTTAAGTGAAATTTTATAGATAAAATTAATTGATTAAATTTAATTTATTTCAAAAATATTAATAATTCAAATGTTTACTAGTTTACATATTTAATAATTAATTTAATCTCAAATTATTAAAAATAATGTGTTTTAAAATTTAATTTAATTTAGTAAGTTTAATAAAAAATAATTTTATCATTTAATTTTAATAAATCTTAAAAAAATAATTTGGATTAAAACACAATGTTAAGTTAAATTATTGTTAAAGGTAATATTTAAAATGATAAAAATATAATAGATAATAGTATTTGAAGCATTCTTCATTTATATTATAATTTCATATAAGAAATTAATTTTTGTAAATATTCATAAAAAAATATCCTCAATTTAAATAAGAACAAATCTGAACATTAGATTTTCCTCATTAATTATTGTATTAAAATCAAATTAAATAATTTAATTTATTTTTTTAGATTAATGATATTTAAAATGTTAATTTTTCCATAATTATTTGTAAATTAATTTATCTCTCTCATTAAAAATGATTATCTATTACAAAATCATGAAATATAAATTTTAAATTTAAGTAGGTGTATTTTTTTTTATGATCTTAAAAAAATGTTCAATAAAAAAGAAATTATTTTAATTAAAATTATTAATTAATATAATTTATTTTTTTTACTTTAATAGAAATCAAAATTTAGCATACATATACATACTTTCTAAATTTCTAAAAGTTTTTCATTTCTTAAGTAATCTAAAATCTTTTCTAAAAAATACCACTGATATCAAGTATTTTATTTAAATAGTAGCTTACATAAATGCGATTCATAAGCAAAACTTGATTTTAAAATGGAATTTAATGAGGTTTTCAAATATTTACTATATATTTAATTTCATTTATTTTGGCCTTTTTATAATAATGTTTACTGTAATAAATTTTTTAGAATTCAAAAATATTAAGGCCCTCCCTAACAATTAAAAATTTTTTAATTATAAAAGGGCAAGTATGGATGAAATTTGAGCGAGGGCCTTATTAAATAAGAATTAAAGTATCTAAAATCTTAATGGAAAAGTAAAAAAATAAGTTATAATTATCTTTCTATAATTCAGTGATAAATCATATTTTGAAATATCGAAAGTTTATATTTTGAGCCTTTATCAACTTTACTAAAATTCATTAGATTTGATTTTTAAACTTCTATTATTAAATAAATAATAGTAAATCAAAATATAAAATGTAGATAATAAGTTTATTGAATTGCCTTTATTTCTCATGGATTTGTTTTTCTTTTCTGCTTTTATGTAAATTATTTTATTATAATAATTGAATGCTTCATTTTTGATAATATTTTTTGTAAATATAACTTCAAAATCTCTATAAAATAAAAGATTACTCCAAATAAAAACTTCATTACAGAAAGTTTATTAATATGAAAAGGAATTGCTTTATTTTAGAGTTGAAAAGTTATTAAATCAATAAGATTTAATATAACATTGTATAAATATTTTCAATTAAAATGTATTAAAATCAATCGAAATCACTCATTTTTAGAAATATGCTAAAATTTCATTTTATTTTTTTGTTTTTAAGAATTAAAGAATATTTTATTCATGTCAAATACTTTCTTTATTGTATTTATTAATTTTCTTTTCGTTTTTGTGAAACTTTATAATAATGCCAATTATTATTAAATTGAAATAGAAAATAAAAAATTTGTTAGTAAAATTGACTATAATGATTAATTTATTAGACTCTTTAATTAAAGACTATCTAGTCTTTATTTATGCTTAATTTGATTGAGAAACATAATAAAGTAACTAGAATGAATTGTTATCGACACTTTTTGATTGATTGTTTTATTTGAATTTAAAAATTCGAATGATTTTAAAGTACATTATAAAACATAATATTTCTAATTTATTATTTTGAAAAAAAATAATATCAATCTTGAAAAATATTTTATATTAAAGCGCTTTTTGTTTTTTTTAAATTTCATCACCATATATAAATTTAATATTATATTTTAAAATAGGTGAAATTATTGCATGAGTGGGTAGGACACCTCAATATTTTTATAAATTTTAATAATAATTTTTCGTTGTGAATATTTAAAAAAAATATTCGAATAGTAAAATTTTTAAATTTGCACAACACTAATTAAAATCAATCAATATAACTTATTATTAGAAAAATTGCTAAAATTTCAATTTATTTTTATTTATACAAATATTTTCTTTATTTTATTCATTAGTTTTTTTTCATTTTTGTGAGTCTTTATTAACTACGTCAATTATTATTAAATTGGAATAGAGCATCAAAAAATTTGTTAGTAAAAAGGATAATACTTTTAAATTTATTAGGCTCTTTAATTAAAGACTGTCTAGTTATTATTTATGCTTAATTTGATGGCGAAACATAAATAAGTAACTAGAATGACACTTTTTGATTTATTGTTTTTGTCGAATTTATAAATTCGAATGATTTGAAAGTTCATTATAAAGCATCATATTTCGAATTTATTATTTTGAAAGAAAATTAATATCAATCTTGTAAAATATTTTATTTTAAAGCGCTTTTTGTTTTATGTAAATTTTTTAAAATTCTGAGATGACGGATAAGAAAAAATTTCAAACGCTAAATAAATTTAAGTTGAATTTTCAACCATAATTTTGATAAGTTAGTAAGATGGATTTATGATAGATAGTAAGTTGACCATCGATTGTTCATTGAATATTTTTTAAAATAATGAAAGTTAATTAATAGGAAAAACTTACATTAATATCTAAAAAATTACTAAATTTGATGAATGGGTGAATTTAAGGTAGAAATCCATGCATCAAGATAGTAATAACATATAGAAAGATGTTAATTAATTTTTTTTAAAGAAATCAAAAAAACAAACTATAATCATTTATGTATATAAAAAACAGAGAGAAAAAAATCAAATTAATTATTGATAAAGAAAATACAGAATAAATAAGAAAAAGGATGATTGAAATAAAGAAGACTTTATTATTTTTGTTATATTTTTTAATTAACTGCTGTTAGTGCTAAGATTAATTTCCTATCAAATTGATGAATAATACTTACGTGTAGTACATAAAGGTAAAATTCCTTTCATACTAATATCAATCTTCATATTTATTTATTTATTTATTTATTTATTTGATTAGGAGTTTAATTCCATAATTTATACCAATTATACTGGTTTTACCATATTCAGCACTCTTGATAAGTAAGGCAAGATTCAAAATTCTTACAAACTGAATAATTATTAGACAAACAATCCTAAAGGCTAAGCATGTTTCATAAATGAAGTAAGTAGCTGATTTTTAACTATTTATTTTACTTTATTTACAACTCATAAAATATATATTAAATTAGACTAAAATTTACTTGACAGACAGTAATTTGGCATATTATTATATCATTGACTTCGACAAAATTGGAAGTGGAAATATTTCTGACTATTTGTTTTAGAAAAACTATCCTTCTTTAACTTATGCATGCGATAGATATCTTATAACGAAAATAGTAGATTTATCTTGTTATTCGTTATTGTTAAAAATATATTGTTTTTTCAATTATTTAAATAGGGTTCTATATTCTACAATCTATGCTTTAGCCCTCTTAATCCTAAAAATAGTTTTATAATTTCTGCGCCAACATTTGATAATTTATTTACTTCTACTAACATTTTGTATAACAATCAAAGCACTTTTTCAAATAATCTTTCTTATTAAGATAATGAGTATTAATTTATAGTAATGGGAAATCGAATATTTATGGATGATGGAAATTACTATTACTTAAATCAGAACCAAACCTTTAAAATTTTAAGTGTAATTTAATTATTTTTTTATCATTTCATAATCTTAATTTTATATTTAGAGAAAGAATAACCTTTGCTTACTTGGTGATTAAACCTTATGTAAAATGTAGTTTTAAGGTAACTAATTGATGATTGCTTAGAGTTAATATAATATAAATTCATAATCTAGGTTAATAGAATTATAAAATGTAAATTAATTTTACAAAAAATTTTCAAAAATGTTTTTTTTTATTGACAAAACTAACTTTTTTAATTTATTATGAATTCCTTTTTTATATACTTAAAAATAAATAAATATTTAGAAGCCATTTATTGTAGCCTATTATAATAGTTAGTTTACTATATTTGACGTAGAAAAGTTATAGATAGCAAAAACTCAAGGTGCTCCATTAATATAAACTAAATTCTTCCAATATCAAGTAAATTAAAAAATAATTATATTAATTTATGGTGACTTATTTAAAAAATAGAATTTCCTATTCTTTTAGAACTATTATCAAGAGCTACAATATAACCAATCAAATGATACTACTGTAATTATTTAGTAGTCTTTAATATAAAATATTCAACAATTTAATATTCCTGCACCGTTGTTTAGCTATGTAATAGTCATCTTTAAATTTTTTCAAATAGAAACTTACTTAGTTAATTATAAAATTAATTAGGGTTTTACTTTTAATTTATAATCTGGATGCTATGCTCCTTTATCTCACAAGTGTTTTTCATATCTAAACTCAATACAAAAGCTCTATTAAATGATTCCAGGATGCTAATAATACTCAGATAATTAACTTTCAAGCTGCTTGTAATGTAACCCTTAATACTTCATGTAAAATGGAATTTGTGTTACTAATTGCTAATAAGGTTACTTTCAAGAGTAAATAATACAAATTTTATTTGCTTTTAAAATTTATTTTTTTTAAAAAAAGCGGTGTTAACTGCTTTCCTTGTTATCAAAATTGCTAAAGCTGCAATGGACTACTATTTACAGATTGTTTAACATGCAAAAAAGATCTATATTAGTTCTAAGACAATTCTTGCGGAATTTGTAATAATGCAACTAATGCTTATTTAATCTCTGGAAATAAATGTGAATGCTAAAATGGGTTTACCTATTTTAATTCCACCTGTATACAAAAATAAGACCCAGCATAATAATAATAGCAAAGTTACTAATCGGAAATATTTACATAAAGTAAGGTACAATAGTTTACTCAGCAGTCTTAAGTATCATCATAAGTTACATTTGCAACCACTACAATTTTGAGCTCCATTCAGAATTTTTTTTCTTCTACTAACTTTGGAGTTGTTATAAATGGCTTAACATGTCTCAAATTAAGTTATTTAACTCTAGTTGATACAAATCTCCCCCATTAAGTTTATAATCCATTAAGCGTCATAATAAGTAAACTGTTTATTTAGCATCAAATGGATATATTTTAACAATTAAAATTAAAATAAATATAGATCAATGTCCAACTCAGTCATTTAAAAATCTAAATGCTTTTTTATTGATAGGTGAAGAGGATTTAAATATTTACTTCAATGCAAAATATCAAAATATTGGTTTGTCTTATATCATTTTACATACCAGCGGGTCTGCTTTCTTTCTATTATTGATCTGCTGTTGCTTTATTGCTCTTTTTTATTATTTGTTAGAGATAAATAAGAATGAAAAAATATTAGAAATTTCTCAATTAGTCTATTAAAAATTATTTTGTGGTTTTATTATTTAGTACATCCAGCTAGTTATGGCAATATTCGTATTAGGCATCAACTTATAAATAAAATAGTTTTTTTTTGATTTAGACAAAAGGACAATAGGCATATACCTTACTTTGATAATCTTTGTTTTTTTGCCGTTGACTGTATTAATCTTCTTAAAGATGTATCAATTATTAAATAAATTTGAAAATCCTTAAAAGGAAGTGAATTTCTTGTAAATAACTAAAGAAAAGATTTAAAACGAAACTATTTCTGAATCAAGAATAAGAAAAAATTTTATTTTAATTTATCTTTCATTCGAGTCAATAATTATTCCAACTATATTTATTTAATTTAGCTAGAGTTGGATTGCTTTAGGAGTATTGTCTATAATATTTTAACTCTCTTATGTGATAATTGTTATCTACTTGAGACCATTCTATTCAAAGTTGACAAACAGCTACTTCATAATTGATTCTCTCCTTTGGCTATTTTAATACATTTAATACTTTATTCTGAGCTCATACAGCTCAAAGAGCAATATGAATAATTATGTGAAAATAATTGATTCAGTTAGCTATTCCTTTTTAATTAACCTTTAATTTATTTTATTATATCTTACTGTTCACATGATAATAGAGTTGCTTGTTAAACTTTACGAATACTTCAAATAAAAACTAATGTAAAAAGATACCAAAGAATAAAGCAATAAAATTGATATAAACTTAATAAGCGAACAGCATTCTTCAAACAATAAATTAATAATCAATAATACTATTTAAATGGTAAAAATTGGAGAATAAAAGCTAGAAATTTTGTAAATAAATGAAAGTACTGATGAAAAAAACTTAAAAATTTAAATATAAGAATAATTATAAGTTTAAAAAGAAATTTAAAGTGTATGATATATTTTATTTTATTTTTGTTTATTTTAGTTTTTGTTGAATTATTTATTTTAGTTTTAAGAATTTTTTTAAAATTCTGAGTAGTTGCATAAATTTCTAACTTAAATTTTTTTTTTTATTTTAAATTTAATAGATTTTTTTATTCCATGTATTTTAAATATTAATAGATAATTATTTAAGTATTATACCTATAATAAATACAATGAAAATTATTTAGATTTACATTAATCAATTATTCAATCTTTATTATCAAATATACTTATTTGATTAAATACATTTAAAGTGATTTGAATATTTTTAGTCTACTTTCTAGTCTTATTAATTATTTGAAAAGAAATGAAAAAGGAAGCCAAACAAAATTTGTATGTATTGAAAATAAAAATTAATGAGCTGGCAAAGTTTTATGTTTGAATAAATATCTAAGATTTTTTAATTAAATTTAACCGCTATTAATGAAAAATTTTATTTGTGTAATAAAGGTGCAAATTTATTTCGTTGTATTATTTTTATTTTAACCACACAATTTAATTAATTTGCTTGATTGATAAGAGGAAAAAGAATTACATAATTTAATCAAAGACTACATTTTGTAAAAAATACAAAATATACCTTCGAATTTCTTATTTAATTAAAGCTATTCTTTGGTTTTAGCTTACATCATTTTAAATTGGTTTAGCTGAATATGAATTTAATGAAAAAGGATTATTTATTTATAGAATCATTTCTAAAATAAACCATATTAATTAATTCAGGCTAATCTTAATACCTCTTAATTAATGATTTAAATAAAAAATTATCTGATAGAGCGTATCATATTATTTAATATGCGATATATAGCAGATATTTAATTGGGTAATCTTCATCTTTATTATAAATATAGCTCAAAAGCTTACAAAATAAAAATAGATTCTTTTGACATTGATTTAATGAATAAAAACACAAGGATTTGATTATATTATTTAATGATTAGATAAAATATATTCTAGCTTATTGCGTCTATTGTAAATGGGTTTTATTACTTACTCACTTCCGCTAATTATCTTATTTAAATCTTTAAAGAATTATGGTTATTTTTAAATTAGTCATATAATAGATAGATATTAATTAACACATAAATTAGAAGAAGAAGAAAAAAAAGAAGAAAATTTGTATAAATTTAATTTTAGAAACTTTTCAATTCACATTATTTTTAGAGAGGAAAAAAGAAAGAAAGAAGAAATAAATAAATGTACATAAATTTCTAGCTGATTTTAGCTTTAAATTTTATTTTTTAATTTCTTTGCAATAGCTTGGCTCCTATTGAAATTTCTGGCTAAATCTATTATATAACTGTAATTTAATTTAATTAAATTCTATCCATCAATTAATAAAAAAATAAATAATATTTTATTAATATTAGGAAACTAATTCTATCTTATACAGAGGAACAGATAATATAGTTAAAATTAGTGTTTTAGATACATAAGGAAGGATAACTTCTACTTACAATTTAATAGGTTTGAATTTTAATATCGCTATTGTAGTCAGATTTTTTACAACAGATGTATTTAATTTATTACCTTCTTTTGCTAATTATAACTTTATTCATTATAAAATTAGTAAAAAAATATAGTATATGCATGTGAATTTAATAAATCATACTACTACATTATAGACTATAATAAAATGTAGAATGGTTCGCCTACCTTTTTTACTTAAATTAATTTCCCTCCGCTACTCTATCCATGCTCAAGTTATATAGTATAGAAGCTAGTAAATATTAATTTCGAAATTTTTTCATATAAAATGTTATTTATTATACGTGATAATTCATACCATATCCTCTTATTTGTTAATTTCTACATTACCATATTTATATAGAGTTAAATACCTTTCTTTTAAAAAATGGATTTCGTGAAATTAAATTAAAAAACTTGTTTTAAATTATAAAAAGCAAGGTTATTATTATTTGCTTTGCCTGTAGAGTAGTAATTACTATATTGTTTGTGAGAGATCATTTGATTTGCTGTTTACTTCAACCAATCGTGTCTTCAGCAGTTTATAAGAACCCACAAATTCTTTTTATTTTTATAATTAATTCATACAAATGCAGAAATAATATTTATTTATGAATGGCAAGAAGTATACTCAATAATAAGTTGGCAAATTATTTTTAATTAATGTAAAAATCTATTTATTATTTTATTTTTTTAAATAAAAATAAATATTTTATATTCAAAAGCAAAAGTATAATTTATATTATTAATAAGGCTTTCAAGCATTAGTACAGCTATCTTTTTCAAATGACTAAGCAATATTAGTCAAATAAATAACTAGATTCACTACCAATTATTCCTATGTCATTTAATTTCCTACTGTAAATAATTAATTAATCCTTTAATTCACTTAACTTCTATTTTTCAAAAATTTTACTCATTTATAATAGAAATTTATTAGAATTAAAAATTTGCTCAATTAAATTTATAAATAAATAAATGACTTTCATGTTTAAAGTATATTTTATTTTTAAAAATATTAATTTAGAAAGCATTTATTCTAGTTTAAGAATTTAATAATCTAAGCTATCACTTTTTAATTTATGGCGTTGAAGACTTTTAATTAACTTAAACATTTGGAGATTCGTTCCCTACTAATTTACCTCAAAACTCTAAGTACTACTAATATAATGTAACATTTTTTAATTTATTAACATAATTTAACAAAATTTTTAACTAGAACTTCATCTTCTTAGGAAACAATTATTATGAGCTAATGTATATCTAACAATCAAATTAAATCTAAATTAAGAAATTTCCTATTAATTCTGGGAAAATATATTTTGCCAACACCAATCCTCTCGATTTTCTCTTTAACAAAGTAACCTTTAAATTACTGTTTATAGAATAGAACTTAAAAATTTTTATTTAAAATATAAACCAAAATAGGGTTTTGGTTCTAATGTTCAGCTCTAAACTTCTTCTGGTGGAGTTACAACATATTTTACTACGATATAATAAATGTATAATATGATACCAGGATGCTCTGTATATATAGACAATACAATTTAAATGTGTAAATAATGTGATTAAAATTATTATTTACAAGACGGAAGATGCCTCACTGCTTGTGAAGATGGCTTTTACTACTCGTAAGCTATTTTTATTTGTTTATTTATATTTTATTTTATTTATTTATTTCTTCATTTATTTATTTATTTATTTATTTATTTAATTATTTACTTATTTTGTTCATCATCATTTTATTATTTGAATCTTAATTTTAGAGGAAGTACATGCTTGCCTTGTAATGAAACATGCTAAACTTGTAACGGGCCCTCAACAAAGAATTGTTTGACATGTCATCAAGAATAATATTTATTTTTAGATAACTCGTGCTGTGATTGTAACTCAACAGGGCAAATAAAAATAGATCCAAATTGTAAGTGTGTTGATAATTATATTTTTTATAATTCGGCTTGTGTATAAAATTATTTAGATTACAGTCCTAATGCATTTACATAGGAGACTGTATAAAAATTAAATTAATCAACAAAAGTGAGCTTATAAGTTTCGTTAGCCACTACAACTTTTCTTAGTGCTGTTTAGAATTTATTTTCTTAGTCCAGCTTTGGCATAGTTATGAGTGGGTTGACTTGCTTGAAGCTGAGTTATCTCTCTTTAGTAAGCTCTGTCCTGCCCTAATAAATATTCTCTCCTCTAAAAACTGTAATTGGTAATAAAATTTATTTTATTTTAAATTTATTTAACTTTAATTTTAATCAATTTATAGAATAATGTCCTCCATAATAATTCAGTAGTTTGAATATGTTTGCTGAATTAATTAACTCTAACGATAGTCAATATCAAAATGTTTAATATAATAGCTTTGGTCTTTCTTTTAATTTTTTAAAAACATTAGGGTAGTCTATTGTCTTATTCTTAATCTGCTTGTTTTGCTTTGTTTTATTTTTTGTATTGATAGAGAAAATAAAAAATGAAAAAGCTCAATCGTTTTCACTAAAGGTTTACAATAAAGTGTTTTCAAGCTTTATAATTTAATATTTTTAGCTAGTAATCGTAATGTTTGTGATTGGTATCAACTAACACATAAAATAATTTGGCTATAATTTTGATAGTAACAATATAGGAGTGCAAATTACTTTTTTACTACTGATTATACCAGTTACAATACTTATTTTACAATAACAATACAAATATTTAAACAAAGAAAGGCCTACAAAAAAAATATAAAGCTTTTCAGAAGTGAATAGAGAAAAAATACAAAATGAGGCTATATTCGAATCAAAAATAAGAAGAAACTATATGATTATTTATTAAATATTTGAATCATTTTTAATTCCTATTTGCTTTATTTAATTAAGCTAAAGTTGGATCGCTACATGCGTGGTTGCAATAATTATTTAGCTGTCTTAATTATTAATCATAATTTATCTAAAGCCATTTTACTCTAAAATAACAAATGCTTATTTTATTATTGATTCTTCTTTATGGCTAACGATGTATATTTAGTTTCTAATTTTAAACATTTATAGTTAAAAGGGAAACCCAAATTAATATTCAGAGATTTTAAATATATTTAGTTATACTTTTTTAATTAATCTTTAAATTATAATGTTGGAATTAACTATTTTCTTACTGATATCTTTAACATTATAGATATACTAATACTTTAAATAATCAAAAAAACATCCTTAATAATAAGATAATTAAGACAATTTTCAAATTGAATTAATGCCAAAGTAGTTTACTTCAAGCGATTTTTCAGAAATAAGAGATAGACATGCTGTTACTACCAGAACAAACTATAAGAATGAATTTAAAGTGCTTAGCTTATATGAAAAAATGTTTAAGAAAAAATAAAACAATAAAGTTAAATAAAACTAAAATGAAATAGTTTGAAAAATTTTCATAAAATAAAATTGTAAATAATGCTTTAATTATTAATTTTATTAATTAAAATAATTCTAAAAATATGTTTTTATTTATTTAATAGTTTACTAAATGAATTTTATATATTTTTTATTCATTTAATATTATAACAATACTTTTATTTTGTAATAAATTAATCATCAAAAAACAATAACTTTAATCAATCATTAAAAATTTTTTTTAGCATGCAGGTTGGTTCAATTAAATTTTTGCTATTTTATTAGTAATTAAAAATTTTGCCTATTTATGAAATAAATAAAAATCATTTAAATATAATAAAAATTAGCTTGTTGAAATCAAAAATTTTTAAATTTATCTTCAATAATTAATTTTAAGGAAGAAATTTATGAATTTTATTTAAATTGCCAATTCAAAATAAATAAAAGTATATTTGTGAATTAGTTAGAATTTATAATTATTATTTTGATATTAATAAATTTATTTAAAATGAAGCATTAATTAACTAAAATCATCAAAATGTAAATTTAAAATCAAATAATATTCATAATGATTAAGAAGGTTAGTAAATTAAATGATCTTACAATTAATTAATTATTAATTAAGTAAAATTTAAATTCAATCAAATAATATTGTGTGTTAAAGAAAGTAAATTTTAATATTAACTATCTTACTAATTAAATAATTTACAGTAATAATTAATTATCTTAGAATTTGATTCTCAAAGATAAAGTAAGTGACGTGACTTAAAATTTTAAATAAAATGATCTAAAGCTTTTTATTTTTTTATTAATAATTAAAATACTTTAAAAATATAATTTTTAAATTAATAATGAAATCAAATAAAAATATTAAAATATTTAATTAAATTTTAATAAAATATTCTAAAATTATTTTAAACGACATCTTCTTCAAATAATTTTAAGCAACACCATAATTTCAGGTGTGATATAAAAATGGTAAAATTAGGCGCCCTTTCAATTATTTAAAAAGTAGTGTCATTTAAAGGTATTAAGATTCGGTGTTTTTTTGAATGAATATGTGAAAGTGTCATTTAAATATATATACTGTAAATGCTCATTAATTAAGGCATTCCCTAAGTATCTTTTTAGCCTAAAAAAAAGTGCCTAATTTAATAGATTTTTTTATTCCCTCATATATTAAATATTTAATATTAATTATTTAAATATAATAAAATAAATTTTTTTTGTAATGAAAATTATTTACAGATTAGATTAATAAATAATTTGATCTATATTTTCAAATATTAATTTTTGAATATTTTTAGCTTTGTTTGAATCTTATCAAATAAATTTTTGTAATGAAAAAAAATGAATGAAATAAGAAATAATCAAACAAAATTTGCATTGAAAGTAGAAAATAAAGAGATGGAAAAATTTTATATTTAATTAAATATCTAACTAATATTTTTTAATTTAAATTTACGCCAATTAATCGAAAAATTTTATTTGAAAAATTAAGGAAAATAAGTAAATAAACAAATTAATTTAGTTGTACTGTTTGTATAGACGCCACACAATTTAATTAGCTTGCTAAAGAAGAATAAAATACAAAGCTTAATCAAAGAGTACATTTTGTAAAAAAAAGACAAAACATACCTTCGAATTTCTTATTTAATTAAAGCTATTTTTAGGTTTTAGCTTACATAATTTTATATTTTGTTACATTGGTAATGAATTTAATGAAAAAAGGATTATATATAGAAATATTTCTAAAATAAAACCTCATAATTAGTCGATTTAAATAAAAAATTAGCTCATAAAGTGTATAATATCCTTTAGAATAAATATAAAAATTAGAAGATATTTATGTAGTTAATCTTCATCTTTATTTATAGATAAATGTAGCTCTAAAGGTTAAAAAATAAATTCTATATGCCGCATTTGATTTTTATGAATAAATACAAAAGGATTTGACTATATTATCTAATAATAATAATACAAAATATCTATTATATATAATATATTCTAGTTCTTTACGTTTCTATAGTATATTAGTTTCATTATATATTAAATTCTTATAATTATCTTATTTAAATGAAAAAAAATTGTGGTTATTTATAGATTGATCATATAGATATTAATTAACATAGAAATTAGAGGAAAAAGAAAATTTGTAAAAATTTAATTTTTAGAAACTTTTCAATTCACATAATTTTTAGAGAGGAAAAAAGGAAGAAAGAAAGAAATAAATAAATGCACATAATTTTCTAGCTGATTTTAGCTTTAAATTATATTTTTTAATATAATTGCAATAACTTGACTCCTATATAAATTTCTAGCTAAATCTATTATATAACTGTAATTTAATTAAATTCTATCCATTAACTAATAAAAATAAATAAATAAATAATATTTTATTAAAATTAGGACACTAATTCTATTTTTTATAGAGGTACAGATAATATAGTTAAAATAAGTATGTTAGATACCTAAGGAAGGGTAACTTCTACTTACAATTTAATAGGTTTGAATTTTAAAATCGCTAATTTAGTCAGATTATTTACAACAGATGTATTTAATTTATTTATTTACTTACCATCTATTGCTAATCATTCTTTTATTCATTATAAAAAGTAGTAAAAAAATATAGTATACGCATGTGAATAAAATTAAAAATACTACTACATTATAGACTTTAACAAAATGTAGAATGGTTCACCTAGCTTTTTTACTTAAAATTATTACCCTCAGCTAGTCTTTCCTTGCTCAAATTTTATAGTCTAGAAGCTAGTAAATATTAATTTTAAAATATTTTTCAAACAAACAAACTGAGTGAGTGAGTGAGTGTTATAAAACATGAAAATTCATTTTTTATCCTTTTATTTATTTCTGCGTTACCTTTTTTTATACTAAAAATTAAAAATGGATTCGGTGAAATTAAATTAAAAAAATTGTTTTAAATTCTAAAAAAGCAAGGTTATTATTATTTGCTTTGCCTAGAAAGTAGTAATTACTATATTATTTGTGAGAAAACATTTGATTTGCTGTTTACTTCAACCAATCTTGCCTTCAGAAGTATTGTAGAACCCACCAATTCTTTTTACTTTTATAATTAATACATACAAATGCAGAGATAATATTTATTTATGAATGGTAAGAAGTATACCCAATAAACAATTAGCAGATTGTATTTAATAAACGTAAAAATATATTCATTATTATTATTTTTTTAATATTAATATATATTTTATATTTAAAAGCAAAAGTATAATTTATATTATTAATAAGCCTTTCAAGCATTAGTACAGTTATCTTTTTAAAATGACTAAGCAATAGTAGTCAAATAAATATCTAAATTCACTAGCAATTATTCCTATGTCATTTAATTTCCTACTGTAAATAATTAATCACTTCTTTAATTTACTTAACTTCTACTTTTAAAAAATTTAATTTTACACAATTTTGAAATAGAAATTTATTGGAATGAAAAAAATGCTCAATCAAATTTATAAATACCTTTTATGCTTAAATAATATTTTATTTTAAAAATATTAAATTAGAAAGCATTTATTCTAGTTTAAGAATTTAATAATCCAAACTATCGCTTTTTTATTTATTGCATTGACGACTTCTAAATAACTTAAACATTTGGAGATTCTTTCCCTACTAATTTATCTATAAACTATAAGTACTACTAATATAATGTAACATTTATTATTTATTAGCATAATTTAACAAAATTTTTAACTAGAATTTCATCTTCTTAGGAAGCAATTATTATGAGCTAATATATATCTAATAATTAAATTAAATCTAAATTAAGAAATTTCCTATCAATTCTGGTAAAATATATCTTGCCAACACTAATCCTCTAGACTATCTCTTTAACGAAGTAAGCTTTAAATGGTCATTTATTTATTGAATCGATCTAAAATTTTTATTTAAAATATAAACCAAAATAGGGTTTTGGTTCTAATGTTCAGCTCTAAACTTCTTCTGGTGGACTTACAACATATTTTACTACGATATAATAAATGTATAATATGATACCAGGATGCTCTGTATATATAGACAATACAATTTAAATGTGTAAATAATGTGATTAAAATTATTATTTACAAGATGGAAGATGCCTCACTGCTTGTGAAGATGGCTTTTATTACTCGTAAGCTATTTTTATTTGTTTATTTATTTAATTAATTAATTATTTACTTATTTTGATCATCATCATTTTATTATTTGAATCTTAATTTTAGAGGAAGTACATGCTTGCCTTGTAATGAAACGTGCTAAACTTGTAATGGACCCTCAACAAAGAATTGTTTGACATGTCATCAAGATTAATATTTATTTTTAGATAACTCGTGCTGTGATTGTAACTCAACAGGGCAAATAATACTAGATCCAAATTGTAAGTGTGCTGATAATTATATTTTTTACAATTTGGCTTGTACATAAAATTATTTAGATTACAGTCCTAATCCATTTACATAGGAGCTTGTATAAAAATTAAATTAATAAACAAAAGTGAGCTTATAAGTTTCGTTAGCCACTACAACTTTTCGTAGTGCTGTTTAGAACTTATTTTCTTAGTCCCAGTTTTGGAATAGTTATGAGTG